TCTGAATCGACATATTGCCCAGGAAGAAATACTAATTGGCAATAAACACATAAAAAGATGCTGTTGACATCATTAGTCACCAGGGAAATGCAAATCAAAAATAACATTTCACATTAACTAGAATGGCTATGATTTACAAAAAAAAGTCAAATAACAAGGTCATAATAGAAGAAACTGGAACTGTGTAGGTGCTTTGGAAAAGTATGGTAGTTCTTCAAATGATTAGACATAGTTACTATGTGACTACACAATTCCATGTCAAGTATATGAACAAGAGAAATGAAAACATTTCTTCACACAAAAACTTGTATGCTCAAAAGATAAATGGACCAATGAACAGAATGAAAAGTCCAGAAATAAGGCCATGTACATGCCAGCAGCTAGTGTATGATAAAGCATCCATGACCATAAAATGGATAAAGACAGTCTCTTTAATAAAGTGTTTGGAAGAGTGGAAAGCCACACATAAAATGATGAAGTTGAATCACTAACACCATACACAAAAAATAATCTACAAATGGATTAACTATTGAGATACAGAGAATTATGTGCAACAAAGTCAGAATGATAAAACCAAATGAAAATTAAAGACAAATACCAGACATTGACAGGGCAGGCAATTCAATAACACGAGACACTTTAAAAAAAAAAAAAAAAAACCCTAGTAGACATTAATAAACATCCTGAGTGCCTCTGGTAGCACAAGAGGTTAAGATGCAACCCATAAAGCTATCCGCAGCCACTGCAGCATGAGTTCGAACCCTGGCCAGGGAGCTACCCACGTGGTAGTAGACCTCTCCTGACTCACCCACGGGTCCCCTCAGCAGTGTATTTCAGTCAATCCTCCTGTTTCTGCTCCCCACTCTGTCTCTGGTGAATCCTCTCATTCCCCCACACCTCTGGCCTGTACCCCAGTTCTTGTATGCATAAATCAATACATCTTCAAAAAAAAACAAAACATCCTGAGGACTCAAGAGGTAGAGGGGAGGAACAGGACAAGGGAACACAAAGGTGGTTGTGGGGAAAGACTGGTTCCCATTATTATCTCTATTAGAAAGAAACATATACACAAATGTTTATAGCAGAATTATTCATAATAGCCTACAGGTGACTAACTGAATCAAATATCCACTGAGGAATGGATAAAGAAAATGGGTGTGTACCCACACAAAGGAATATGATTCAGTCATAGAATTTACATTTTGTATATGCTACAACACAGACAGTCCTTGAAAACATAATGCTCAGTGGCCTCACTCCTGAGATCACCTGTTAACTGGAAGGACACTGCACCCAGACAATCTCATGACTCGGGGCAAAATTGGAACACCTCTGACATCAACGACCAGCACAGACCGCACCAGAGGGACATGGAGGAGATTCTGTACTTCACTGAGTTGGAGGTGGGTGTAGAGAGGGGCCTGGGAATGGTGGTTTGGAGGAGACATATACAGTGGGGCAGCTGCTCAGCCAGAGGCCCTGGGGAGGGGAGAGTTAAACCATGAGGCACACACATTTGAGGGGAAATACGTGAGAAGGGGCTGCGATTTAAATAAGAAAATAAGATTCAAGATGTAAAAACATCAATAAAAAAATTCTAGAAAGAACTATGGAATGCTAGGCCAAAAGGATTGAATTAATGACCTCAAAAATAATGCACAAAGGGGCCTCCCCTGGTGGCGCAGCGGTTGAGCGCTGGGTTGCGAAGCTGCCCACAGCCTCTGCAGCGCCAGTTCGATCCCCGGCCAACGGGTGAGGATCCCACACTGCGCGCAGACCTCTCCTGCCGCCCGCTGCTCCCCTCAGCAGTGTATTTTGTCGGTCTGCCTGTTCTGCTCTCCGCTCTGGCTCTGGTGAATTCTCTCACCCTCCCGCGCTTCTGACTGTACCCAGTGCTTTTATAAATGAATAAATAAAATCTTTAAAAAAAAAAAGGTGGAAAGTTTAAGAGGGAAAAAAAGAGATGGATCCTTTTAAAGAAAAAAAAAAAATAATGCACAAAGGACCCAGGTGGAAGAGAGAAATACAAAGAAAAAAAAAAAAAACAAAACACTTTGAGAAGTATCTGACTCCATCAGGAAAGGTAACAAAGGATAACGGGTATCCGGGTATCTAAGAGGAAGAAAAGGGAATAGAGAGTTTATTCAAAGAAATACAGGAAAACATCCCAAATCTGGAGATTCAACTACCCATACAACTCCATTGCAGCTACACCATACCCACATGGACGGTTAACTTATAACAAAGAAGTCTGCATATACAATGAAAAAAGAAAAGTCTCTTCACCCAATGGTGCTGGGAAAGCTGGACAGTCACATACCGAAGAATGAAACTAGACCACTACCTCATACTGTGCACAAGAAATTAACATAAAATGGATGAAGGACCTGAAACCATAAAACACATAGGCAACAGAGGCAAAGCACTCTGTTTAACACTGGCTTCAGGGATGTCGTTGGTGTCAACTCCAAAGACAAGGGAAGCAAAAGCAAAAATAAACAAATGGGTCAACATCAAACAGAAATGCTTCAGCACAGCAGAAGAAACCATCAGTAAAACACCCCACCAAGTGGGAAAAAATATTTACACATCATACATCTGACAAAGGGCCAATCTCCAAGATCTACAAAGAACTCATACAAATCAACAAAAGGTAGTCAAAAAACACAATTTAAAAAATGGACACAGCTGGGCCTCCCTGGTGGCCCAAGGGGTTAAGCACAGCACTATGTAGCAATCTGCAGCCCCTACAGCACGTGTTCGATCCCCAGCCGGCCAGGGAGCAACCCACATGGCGAAGTAGGCCTCTCCTGTTTCACCTTCTGCTCCCCTCAGCAGCGTATTTCAGTCAGTCTGCCTGTTCTGTTCCCCACTGTCTACGGCGAATCCGCTCACCCCCCACATCTCTGGCCTGTACCCCAGCTCTTGCATGAATAAATAAACATATCTTTTAAGAAAAAAATGGACAGAGCTAGACACCTCTCCAAAGATACACAGATGGCCAAGATACCTGAAAAAATTTTTCATCATCATTTATCAGAGCAATGCAAATCAAAAAAACTGCAATGAGATATCACCTCACATCTGAGAGAATGGCCCCTATCAAAAAGACCACAAACAAGTGTTGGTGAGGGTGTTGAGAAAGCAGAACCCTCATGCATTTAGTTGGAATGTAGACTGGTCGGGTACCAATGGCAAACAGTACAGACATTTCTCAAAATATAAAAAATATGAGCCAGCAGTTCCACTGCTAGACAACTTCCCTAAGGACAAAACACTAACTCCAAGGGATATATGTACTCCTATATTCACTGCAGCTCTATTTACAAGTTATGGAACAATTTTAAGTGACCAACACAGGTCCCTAAAATGTAGTACATTTACACAATGAATACGCAGCAGTAAAAGTATTGCCATTGGCAACAACATGAATGGAACTGGAGGGGATTATGCTAAGTGAATTAAGTGAGGAGAAAGAAACACAGGACGATTTCACACATATGTGGGAGAGAGAAACAAAGACAAAACTAAACCAAAAACAAACCCCAGAGGGCCTCCCATGGTGGCGCAGGGGGTTGAGCGCCGCACTGTGACGCTGTCTGCAGCCTCTGCATTGCCGGTTCGATCCCGGCCAGCCGGTGAGAGTCCAACATCACGTGGCAGACCTCTCCTGTCGTGCCTGCTGCTCCCCTCAGCAGTGTATTTCGTCAGTCGGCCTGTTCTGTTCCCCGCTCTGTCTCTGGTGAATCTTCTCACCCTCCCTTGCATCTGGCCTGTACCCCGGGTTCTTGTATAAATAAATAAGTCAATCTTAAAAAAAACCCCAAAACCCCAGATATCTGACAGTAGAATCAAGTGTACTAGAAGGGGCGGGTGGCCAGAACTAAGGGGGTAGGGTGGCCATGGACAATACAAGTCTTGGTGGGGGGTGTGATATGGTAATATAATCTAAAGGGGTGTGAATTTATAACTCTGAATCATATAACGTGTTGTAAACCAATGTTAGGGGGGAAAGCAAGACAGATTGTTTAAATTAGGACCAATGAGGACAACCAAAGGGCATACATTCTTCAATGAGCTGATAAAAATGTTCTAAGACTGCCACACATGGGAATATATGTGGAAAAAGACTGGTTCTATAAAATTTAAAAATTAGGTAGGTTCTATGTCACCTGGGAGGTATTACATTTGCTCAGGTGTGAGTCATACCATTCATTCTTACATCAACTCAAATGCATCCTCTTTTCTTTCTCCTTGCTACTGTTCTAATCAATTTTTGATGGTGACTAGAATCCAATGCTATCTTTTTTGAAGAGGGGGCCTAAAGGCTATGTAAATACACAGCTGCTGTAGTGCCTACTCATCCACATCCTTATTAACTTCAAAATTTGCAGTTACTTACTCTAGTGATATTAAAGGCCAGTGAAAAATATCCCTGAAATAACTACTCTGACAGGGTGTCAATGGGTTAGGTTATAAAGTATTCTCTCTTTTTGGTCAAAATATTTAATGCTGATTCCAAGTTACTTAAGATTTCTTTTTATCAGATGCTTGATAAATAATGCCACTTTACTATGGCATACATTGATATATTTTTTGATTCACTGAGGTGAGGTAGGTTATTATTGTATCTGCTTTGGGGGTTTATAGGTTTAAACCTCTACCAAGGGTTTATTTTCACACTCTGCCCCACCAACTGATACATTTGTTTACATAAAACTGTAAGCTTTTGATGAACAGAGAATTTTTATATGTTCTAGCTCTAGTACAGCCTTTAATCCATAACATAATAAAAAGTTTGATAAATAGGTCAACTGTCTCATTATGCTAAAATACAACCAATGCATTGATAATAGAAGATGTATGATTGCTACAAGGTCCTAGAATGAACATAATATTCATTTATCATCCTAAAATGTAGTTTACAGTTTTGTAATAAATTAGATATGAATACATAAATGCATTTAAAATATACATTAAGAACTGGCAATGCATTTGCTTATCCTTTAATATTATTAAGGGGGAAAAGTACATTCTTTGCAAATAGATACAAGTCAATATTCACCAAACTGCATTGGTTTAAAAAATTATTAACTTGACAGTACATTTCTCTTGTCAATGTTTTTATTGAGCTACTTGTGCAAAGGGATGAAATTAATTGTTCACTGAGTTATATTTAGATCGTATTTAACAAGTTCATTTAAATAAGTTTAATATTCCATAAATGACAAGCAGCTTAAATACAAGTTTGATTGCTATCATTAAAAAAATTAATAAAATCAAATTCATAGTTAAATTTTCAACAAGGCAATGTAACATCACTAACCTGACTAAAAGGCCGCACTCGTACTGCTACTTTCACACTGTCAATACTTGGCATAGGCATTTTCATCATTTTCCCATTATTTGTATTATTATTTGGTAGAAAAATAATGTAGAAAGCACACTGTTTATGCTTCACACTAAAACATAAAAAGCTTAGCCAACAAAAGCAGTTTGTTTCCGATGATCAATTATTAATGGTCCATTCATTACACACTATCAATTACTTGTTATAAATTATTTTACAACACTTACTTATTGATGAATTGTACAGCCCATATCAAGCATCATCACTTAATTGCACAGTCATACTGCAGAGAACAGTTTTTTGTTTTCCTTTTTCCAAGTCTCATCACACTCTTTCCCCTCCCCATCCTCTATAATCTGTGCCTGAGGTCCTCTGAAAATGTCAGTTTAAAAACCTGAATATTAAAGGGACTTCTGTAATTCAGTAGCCAGCTCCTCCACTGCAAGATTATATCAATATTAGGCACATACATGGTACAATGAACAGATTTGTTTGGAATCATGAAACAGATTTGTTTGGAATTTCCCTACTTCCTCCCTTTAATGAAGTTGCTAGTGAGCAGTGAACCGGTCAGTCTAACCTGGATAGTTAGTCTCTGAATAATTAAGAGACTTTAAAAACAAACAGCCTTTAAGCTAGCTGAATAAGAAATGCCAACATTGTAGTTAATGAATGCATTACCCGGAAAATTACTCATTTGAGGTAGAGTACATAAAATTTGTTAATTAAACTACAAAAAGTGGCAAAATAACATGCCTATAAAATTCAATTTCAACACAGCAACAGCCAAAAGAAATAATACATTTTATGATTAGAAATCTTAATCACAGAAGCAAAGTGCATAAATTATGAAATAGCAACTTAAAAAATCAACAGTTCCATCATCCCCATTTAAACTGTAGATAAAGAAAATGGGACCAGTGCCTACTGGCATATAAAATCATTTTTAAAACAGAAATCCCCTCACAAAAATCTAACAGACACAAACTACTGTGAAGTATACACTTTATTTAACATTCCAATAATAAGCCATATTTACACATTATATAAATGTATGAAGTCTTACTATAAAATAGAAAAAACTGCCTGGACTAAAAGAATCACACCCCATATGGAGTTAATTTACTTACTGAAGACTTTCTGTTTACAAAAATTTACAATAATTTATATAAATTACTTTTTCCAAATTAGATGATTTTTAATAACCCACACAATTCTGATGACTTTACAAACAGGTGTACATTAAAAATTTGAAAATAAAAATTACAGCATTTTTCTGCGTAAAACTTGCTTTGGAAAGGAAGACGGTTTCTTTCTATTCCTCCCAAGTGCTTTCCCCGTTACTTCTGTAGTTTTTCTTGGTTTGCTCTTTACCCCACCAACTGGGCTTGCCAAAGGAGAAATCAACTTAATTTCTACTGGAGGAGGTATCCAAGAACTTTCTTTTTCAGTGTTTCTGGGGAAAAAAAAACGGTAATTCAAATAAGGCTAAACACATTATATCATAAAAATATAATTGGCTTATCAATGTATTTTATGAAAGAGATGAGAAGTGAAACTAAGTCATAAAAGCTAATTACAGATAGAGTTAAGGCTTCACATAAACAGAATTTTCTCTTTTTGATTTGGATATTCAAGTATATTCTTTCAGACATTTCGTATGTACTGATAAATACTGTGGGGTTATGGGGATGAGCCAACTGCCAATAGTCAGTCTCTGGAAAGAGCTTAGCAAGTCCATGAAGCAGATGAAAAATTGAATCCTCAAACACCAGCAATTATAACTACATTTTTGTAATATAAAGTTTTCCACATATATATAAAGCCAATTTTAATATGCAAAAAGTATTATTATGGTCAAAAGTCTCATCAAACCAGGTTTTAAAGTAGATTAATTCAACCGCGCCTAACCACAACATGAAGAAAATACTAACAAATATTATACTGAAATGCAGTAATTTACAATGGATAACATTCTAATTACTACTAGCTAAATAATCACAGGATTTTTAAATTTATAATTTGTTTTTACTAATAGTTATCTATCTTTACTAATGAAAAGATAAAACATCTTATCTCCCTTTCTTCACTCACTGAAAAAAAGGTGAAGATTCACTGGGCACTAATCTACCCCAAACTACTACTTTTCTTAAAAAAATATTTAAAAATGCGCTTTATGCTATACAGAAAAAGTCACACTCTACAGAGAAGTACAAAAAGACAGTGTTCATAAATGCCCCTAAGAATTAAACTTGTTAAATGAAAGTCTATAATGAAGTGCTTTAAGCGCCATGGAACAAACTAGGTCTTAATACCTAACCTAATTAGAGTTTTGATCTCTCCCTTAAGTGGAATTTCGCCATTAATACGGCCCAGCACTAGTGAGGTAATCCTGGCAAAGGAAGTGATGACCTTGCCTAAAGATGATCCACTCTTTGCTATTAACTTCCTTGTCCTGCTTTCTTTTCTCTACAAAACTCATTTTCAACAGCACTTCAGGGTCTTCTCTATATGCTATCCAATTCACAGATCATTAAATAAAGCCAACATATTGGGTTTTTTTTTTTGTAATGGGTTTGGGTTGTAATGGGTTTTTTTTGGTAACCATTTAACTGATGAGCTTAATTTCTCTTTTGAAGTCAAGACTCTTTTTTCTAAATTTTAATTTTAGAAACAAAATGGGTGAAACTAACAGCATAGAGAAAGTCATACTTGCTCGCTTGTTTTGTTTTTGCAGTCCTGATTCTTTTGGCTTTTTGCTTTTCCCCAGTTTCTATTGATTGAGCATCATCTTCCTAAGTGTTTAAAAAAATTAAAAAATCTTAAATAACTAAGCATTTAAAAATCAAAATTGAAAAAGTTCCATTCTCAATCAAGGAACAGAGCCACACAGTGCTAATGAATTCAAACTCAACAACTCCAAAATGGACTCCTTGTATTTTCTGGTAGAAATCTTGGTCCTCAACAGCCACTCATTCTGACACATTTGATACCCAAGTCTTATCAGTTTTGATTTGGAATATTGTCCACTGTACCTTTATTTCCTGCCTCTGATCAAATCCAAGATTTTGCTATCTCATGAGGAGTAGGCCACGAGACTATTTTTCCCTCCCCAGAATTAATTTGTCATAGAAACTACTTAAAATATACACATAGCTGTATGCCAGTTTGTGAACAATCGTGTTTTCATGTTCATGGAAAATAATTCAAGAAATGCTTATGATTTATGGTTGATTAATGCAAGGTTTCATTCACAATCCCTAAACTATTTTTAGGGTTATGTACAACTAGATAATGGCATGAGCAGAGGCTCAGACACCTACATTTTAAATAAACACATCTAGACAATACTCATGATGATCCTAAAATTTAAAAACCTCTCTCCTCATAAGTAATTTAAACTGTACTTGTCACTCAAATACCATTAGTAACATACCAAAGAACTATCTTAAAATAGGACTCCATAAAATATACACAAGGCAGTTTTTGGCTCTTTTTATAGAAGTTACTTAGAAACATTGCTTTAAAAAGTTAAAGCACACACACAGATGAAAATGCAATTCTTACCAGTTCATCTATAAGTTTGGATGCATTAGATGTGCTTTTCTGCCTGGTCCTTAAAGCAGGAGGTGAGAAGACAAATTGAGAGGATAAATCTGAAACTAATTCTTTTAGCTGTGCAGGAGCATCCATTTTTTTTGCTAAAGAAAGGAAAACAGTGCATCATTTTTATGTATATGTTCACACATACATCCACTATTTAAGATTTTTAATTTTTATTTATGCATACAAGAACCGGGGTGTAGGCCTGTAGGTACAGGCCTCTGTAGGTGAGAGGATTCACCAGAGACAGAGTAGGGAGCAGTGAAATATACTGCTGAGGGGAGCAGTGGGCAAGATAAGAGAGGTCTGCTGCGCCATGTGGGCATGATCCCTGCCTGGGGATTGAATTCATGTGTTGGTGCCTGCCTGGCAAGAGCTTGATAGTGCTGAGACTTTAACCCCTGAGCCAACAGGGAGGCTCCATACATATATTTTTAAAGTTTGGAACAAACAAATGATTGATGTATATCAGAAAGAAGTAAACATCATAAACCTGGAAAACACTAATATCATTAACATGAGATTATGGACAGCATCTATAAAGTTACTGTGAAAATTAAAGAACAATGTGTGACATACAGTAAGTGTTTTACTGATGCTTACATCTGTTACATTATTTCAAGAATATAATTTACAATTCTCAAATTACACTTCAAGATTATTTCACTTACTGGGACAAAGAGTACTATCAAGATGTCAAATTCTGCTTTTAAAGAATATGATTCTTACCCAATAGGGTGGTGGGGTGGGGACAAATAAAGTCCTCTCTGCCCCTAGCTGGTAAATGGTAGAAATGCCAACAGTTGGCATACCAACAGTTGGTAATACCTCCCTTTGGGCATTAAAAACAGAGAAATATAATCTCTATATATATTTTTTAGTTTTTTTTTTTTAATATTTAAAAGAAATTTATTATTGAGGTAATAATACTGGTTTACAGCACTGTATATGATTCAGGGGAACAGGTTCACACTTCAATATACATCTATATTCTTTCCTTTTTAAAAAGATTTATTTATTTATTCATACAAGATCTGGGGTACAGGCTAGAGGTGTGAGGGGTGAGAGAATTCACTAGACACAGAGTGGGGAACAGAACAGGCAGATTGATTGAAATAAACAGCTGAGGGGAACAGCTGGTGAGTCAGGAGAGGTCTGCTGTGCCATGTGGGTAGCAACCTGGCTGGGGATTGAACTTATGCTGCAGTGGCTGCGGATAGTTTCATAGGTTGTCTTAACCCTTTGCACCACCAGGGAGGCCCTATACATCTATATTCTTTCTATTAAAATGATACATTCTATTTTTCTCTTCCCAGGCTACCTGAACAACTTGGTTTTTCAAAGATGAGCTCATATTCTCAGCTTTCCTCCCTCTATTTCAAAGGAATAAATAAGGAAATACAAAAATACATTATGTACAAAAATATTGTCATTTTATTATGCTTCTTTGCATGTTAATTCTTCATGTGTCTCGATCAGCTTCCCAAGGGTTAAGTTTGATGGCCAGGGCTACTTAGGTTTAAGGAATTCTTAAGACCTAGGTTAAAACCCAGTCATACATTCTGGAACAAAAAAACCAAAAACAAACAACTGATTCAGAGCATTTACTGACTGGTGTAAATATTCCTACTACAGCTGGCTTGTGAAATTCCTGAGTATTTAACAACTGGCTCTCTTACCAGTCAGGCAGGAGTCAGCCCTTGGACACCACTAATTACAAGGTGGGTGATATGGGTGCCCAGTCTTACTGAACTTCAATATGCTCACTAAAAAGAAGGATCAATACCTATACTTTGAGATGCAAATGAATCAATGGATTATACACTCCTATAGCCTCAGGCTAAATACAGCAGGCCCCCTTTTCCTAAAGTATCTGCTGCTGAATAATGGAAATTAAAATCAATGGAAACATCAAGTCTCACAATCTTTGAGCTAGTAAAACATTTAAACAAAATACTAGGATACTTGTTCTCTGACAGGTTTCAATTAGAGAGGAGTACCCCCAGCTTTTTAATCAATAATATTTCTGTATCTATTCTTCTCTGAAAGATGAGGAAACTTGGAAAAGATTTTCTGTCCAGTTAGTTAAGTGGCAGACATGAGACACTCCAGTCACAAATTTCTCATCACTTCTAATATCATCTCATAGAAGAGATGAAATGCCACATATGGTCTTGATGATTTTAGCTGATCAAAACCATGCATAGCCAGGGTCTTGAAAAATATATTAAGAGTATCTAAAAAATATTCATAAAGTAATTGGGGGTGGAGGTGAGTACAGAATATACATATACACAAGATATAGTTTATTCGTTTTTTAAAAAACTATATACATGACTGGACGGATATCTAACTTTCTATGGCAGATATGTATCAGTTTCACTAGGCATAGTTACATAAAAAAATTATGTAATATGTATCCAGAGATCCACTAGATGACAAAGATCAGATTACTGGGCTATGTTTGCTATCTATGCTGCATCAAAATAACCCACAATTATGTTTAAGACACTTCTCTATATCATGGAGACCTATTAATGACATTCTTCTGCCACTCTCACTACTGTAGTTTTTCATTTTAACTTCAATATAACAGCTTAGCAAAGTCAGCTAAAATCTCACATTTTATCATTTCATTCCCCTCCATGCAATGTAAAGGATAACCACATTTCCTTAATACCAAAATAAAAAAGATTAAATCAAATACAACAGGGGTGGGAGGAAGAAGAGGGTCTCCTACAACCACAAACCATTTCTAAGCCAAATGATCAATCTATGACAAAGGGGCCTTTACCTGGGCTCATGCTCTATAACAAATGCCTACATAATTATATTTAAAGAAATTTTTGCAAGGTGAATGTCGAAGATACAAACATTTCAATGTGCAGATTTTAAAAATGGCTTCTTGGGCCTCCCCGGTGGCGCAGCGGTTGAGCGCTGGGTTGCGAAGCTGCCCGCAGCCTCTGCAGCGCCGGTTCGATTCCCGGCTGCTCCCCGGCCACCGGAGGAGGGTCCCACATGGTGCGCAGACCTCTCCTGCCGCCCGCTGCTCCCCTCAGCAGTGTACTTCGGTCCTTCTGCCTGCTCTGCTCCCCGCTCTGGCTCTGGTGAATTCTCTCACCCTCCCACGCTTCTGACTGTACCCAGTGCATGTATAAACGAAACAAACGAACAAACAAATAAATAAATAAAACATGCCTCTATAAAAAAGGAAAAAAAAAAAAAGAAAAATGGCTTCTCTTTCTCTTGCCTTCCTCAAGAGGCAACATACATGATATTCACTCATGCATTAAAAAATAAATACAAATTTTTAAACATTTAAATAAACAATATTTAAAAGCCCTAGAACGGCTTTATGGAAATTCAAAATTTAAACTGTAAGTAAACAACTACATTTTGTTTACCTAACCATTTTAATCATCTTTACAAAGAACTACCTCATGGGTTCTATTCAGGTACACCAGTGTATCAACCTCTTACCACCTTTTTTAGAGCTTTTCTTAATTACCTACCTCACAGAAATTTTTTGCTCGCAAGAAATCTCCATAGCACAGATGAGTCTTTCTATGCACTTAATGTATGTACCTGTGCTTCATACATAAGAAATATAAGACTTACAACCTTTGGGGAGGGACATCACTCCTCTTCAGAAGGTGTGAACTATACCAACCAAATAACATAATCAGTCGCCTCACTTGTTGCAATGAGGGAAGTTGTGCCTGCAGCCATGTTAATTTATGAGTAACAGGGAAACTGAGTTTAACTAATTTTCAATCAATAAAATTCTGCTGTTTCCTTTCATAAACAACTGGGGTTGTGGATATCACGTGGGATAGGGATATGGTACTTGGATTAAGACTGCTAATTTTATTTGTGGAAAAAACAGAATAAACTCATACAAAGGCAGAATGAAGAGAAATGGTATGATTCAAGAAAATTAAACCTTGTCAAAACCATAGGAGTCCACAGGTCATATTAAATCAGAAAATTCCTAAATGTCAAGAATTTGAAAATAAAATCTTAAAATTAAAAGAACATTTTGGAGAAGGATTTCCTTTAACTCAAATCATTTCTAGGATAATCAATTAGTGCCTTAGTAGAAATGAAATCGTGCTTAAAATGATAAAACTTTTAAGATGAAGATTTCGAATGAGATCAAAATTATACATTGAATAGAAAAATACCTTTCTCTTTCCTTGGAACCTTTGACGCAGGAGGAGAAAATAAAGACTCATTTTTTGGTTCAGAAATGTCCGGCAACAAGATGGCCTTGCTAGATCGAGTCCTTGTGCTGCGGGAAGATTTAGTCAAAGCAGCTGTGGCAAGCAATTTTTCTTCTTCATTATTCGGTTTTTTGTCTTTGTTTTCTTCTGAAATTGAGCGTAATGAAAATTTTTGGCTCTGATTTTCAGTCCTTTTAAGTTTTTTCTTAGAACTCATCACTGTAGCAAGATCCTCATTTGGCACTAAAATGGACTTTTCTAAAGCTAATTTTCCAACATCGGCACTTTCATTTTTAGCTGGGGTGTTTCTTGTTGATCTCCTTTGGACACTGGGAATGCCTCTCTTTTGAGGACTTCTCTCTTCCTCACGAGCCCTACCTCCTACATCTTCGGTTGGATTTGTTTTTCTTGGCCTACCACGCTTCCTTGGTGTAGCAGGTGTACCAGATTCTGTTTGAAGGTTCAACTGGGATACATCAAGTTTAGAGTCTTCCATGCCATGTGCTGCACTAACTTCTCTCTCTTTAATCCTTCTATTACATTTCCTGCTAGGCTTCCCATCTTGTTTATATTCTGTATCTTCAGAAGCTTCTAAGTTAGCACTTCTCAATTTTCTGGTACTTCTGCTAGGACTTGCTGCTTTACTAACTTCTAGATCATTTACAGTTTCAAAACTTCCCTGATTCTTCACAGATTTTTTAATTTTTTTCGGAGTCTTTTTTGTAACAGATAATGTCTTGTCTTCTTTTCTAAAAGAAGTTTCTTCAACTGCTGGTTCCAACAGCTTAGATGATTTCAACCTTAATTTCCTACCTGAAGTAACCTGTAATTCCTGTTCTACAGAACTAATACTTTCTAATGTGTCCTGACTCATTTCTTTCCTTCTCCTTCCTCTCCTAGGAGTAACAGAATTTTGAGGTATTTGCTGGTTCTGAGACATTCCTTTAACATCAGAACAGGCACTTTCAGAAGCCTCAGAAATTTCTTTTGTTTTCCTAGTTTTCTTCCTACCTGAAAGTCCCAGCATCTCAGGAGTAGCAACATCTGCTGATTTGACATTTAGGTTCTGGACACGCTGTCCTCTCAAGCGAGTTCTGGAGGAAATCATGTCATTAACCTGGCTAATGTTTATAGTCATGGTGCTGGTTTCCTGAACAGTCTTAAATGTAGATTTGCCTAACTTGGTGGGACACATTACCTTCTGGCTCACTAAAGGTATGTTTTCATGACTGGACTGTTCCATTGCATCTGAAGTAATTTCTTTACTTCTTGTATCTTTAATTACATCCAATAAATTTTCTGCAATAGCAACTTTAATTGGTTCAGGCACATATGGTAATGCTTCTATCTTCTGGGACTCCTGATCATTCATTATGATAGCTGACAAATTTGCAACATCTTGATTATCATTGTCCCCACTGTACACACGTTTTTCTTCAGCTGCTTTGCTAGTCACTCTAGCTAATACATTAGATGCTGCAGAATCCCCAGTCTCAACTTCTCCTTCTTCACCTTCTAATATCAAGGTAAAGTTGCTCTGAGCTACAAATAGTTCCCCGTCTACTTCAGCAATGTCACACTCAGCAGAGTCTTTATTATCAGGCAAGTCACAAAACTGTTGCTCAATGGTATCAAAATTGTATTGAAGCTTAAGAGTTCCTGAGGGATACAACTCATTAAATGAAAGACTCCTAGCCTCTTGTCCAGAATCCTGAACTTCAAGCTTTTCACGTTCAACCACCTAAAATGAATTAAAGAGACCAGTTAAAGAATTTTCATGTATATACTTATTTCAACCTAAAGCATAAAGATTTTTAACGACCATCTCATTCTTGGTATATGAATTGTTAAACATAAACTACATTTTGTATGGCATATACTTATGGGTTTACTTCATAAAATATCTATTTAAGCAATCAGACTCACGTCAAAATAACTACACAGAAAAAAATACTCTTGATTTTGAATGGCATTAAAGAAATTTTACATTTCCCTGGATAAAAAGACAGTCTTAACAAAACCTTGAAAATTACTATGATGAAGAATTAAGGACTTATTCTATTCTCACCCAAGAAAAAAAAAATTAACTGGAGAAAAAGAAACAACCCCCAAACTGTGTTTTAATGATAATCCCCAAATTACCTAACTATTCACACTTTTCTAAACAGCATGATCCCCATAAGGTTGAAGAAGAATTCACCTACATAAGCTCCCTTGGGCTAGACTCAATCCTCTTCCCTTTGCTGGGGCTGCATAAACCATGAAATTCCTAAGGCTTTCAAGTTCAGTACCTCTCCTGCAAGGGTTTGGTGGAAGAAGGAATGGTCCTTGCATTTACCTTTTGGTAAGGGAAGGGGAGAAAAAGGAGGAGGTAGAAAGTAACAGAGAGATCTCCTGACCAAGAAGGTAGAACATTACCACCCACCTAGACAATGACATTTTCCCAATCCCCAAACATTCAGTGAGATGAAAGACTGGAAACACCCAGAAAATGAGGATTCCCACTTACATCATGCCCATAATTTTTATTAGCTTCTCAGCTGATGGAATAAGGATTTTATCCATATATTTCACATATGGATAACCATGACATTTTTATGAGTTAGGAAACTCCCCAAATATTTTACAATTAGATTTCTATTAATAATTAGAAGAGTTGGCTTTTCATTATCTTAAATTTACCAAAAGTTGCCTAATGATAAGAGAGATTTGGTGGAATTTTCATAAATTTTAAGTCATTTTAAGTACCCACTGTCCAAAAAAATCCTTTCTGGGATGCATAGCTCAACCCCTGCCAATTGAATATTTTCCAACATGTATGCATGGGGGGAAAATTCCTATTTAATTGCATTCAATTATGTTCAAATACATGTTCTGAATAGCTTTGATGTCATATTTGTCTTTGTAGATAGCCAAGCCAGTATCTGTTTTCTTATGGCTAAAAAACCCAGATACTCAGCAAAATTAAAGTATGGCCTCTCTAACACGGCCTTTTGATTTTCTTGAAAAGCAACTTAAGGAATGTATTCTTTTATATTCCATAAAATATTTATATACTCTAACACAGATTTTTATGAAGAGGTTTTTAGATAGCAGTCAAATAAATGAATACGTTAGGTTTGAATTATGGTTTGAAACCTAACTAAAACAAAACTTTTGAAACTGACAAAAAAAAGTAAAAAATTAATTTTTTTACATGAATTTCTTGAGAATCAGGAGAACTGTCAGGTAGTGGAGGTTTTTCTTCAGTTAAGTCAACACTTTCTCTTAGTACATCAACTTCTATTTCGTGATCTTCTTTTAAATTCAATGTTATTTCCTGGTCAAGCCTATGTTCAGAGATAATAGGACTTTCAGAGATAACAAGCCCAGAGCTTCCACTATCATCAAGGACATCGGCCATAGCTGAAAGAAAAACAGGAGTCAATCTTCCATATTTTAAACTAAAAAAAGTAAAATATTCATGAATTGAGAAGGAAATAGCTACACTGAATTAAAAATATTCATTTGATAAATTATCACTGTGTCAAAAATAGGGGAGGGGCCTACAATGATTTACATTTTGACCCTGTATCTTTAGTATCCAATCATTCAGTTTAAACAATACATTTTTGATACATACAAAGATAAAAATGCAGATTTTTACATTTAAAAATGACAACTGGTTTCTCTCAAATGGAATATAATCCTTGCCCTTATTGTCAAACTTCAATTTAACTGTTTTTTAAAAGGTCAAATGTTTGTTCCTTATTAAATAAATCTAAAAATCATGTTCACCATGTGACTACCAGAAAATGAGCAATCTTTGTTGAGAGCTTCTAAAGAATTATATGAGGGACATAAAATTTGGGCTTTGATCTGGCTATGAAAAAGACGAGGTAGCTCTCTTTTGGCAGAAAGCATACAAATGCTCACAAGTACATTCTACCACTTTAGTAAAAAATAGTGCTCACTTTAAAAATTTTCTCCTTATCTTTCACCTTCTTCTTTGCCAAAGTTTTAACAAGTCATTAACACTCACAGGCCACATATGAAGTTAAGAGTTTATGAACAACACAAAATTCAAAATACCTTGGGGGTTGGGGAAGATGATCTAACTAACTTAAAAACTTTTGTCTAACAACAACAAAAAAATCATTATAAAGGTTTTTAAAAAATACTAACTAGGAAAACATATTGTCATACTATTAACAGATAATGAGAATAATATCCCTAATAGCCAAAGACTGCTTATAATTACAAAATGGAAAAGTTTTCACTTATCAGTTTGGCAAAGAGGAATGGGAAAATATGCACTTTACCGTCCAATCACCAGTGTATATGAAAGCAGTAAGCAACCTTTACTGGAGAAAACAATAAAATACAAAAATGTGTGCATATTCCTTGACCTGAAAAGTCCATGTTTTAGAAATCTACCCAACAAAAATACTAACACAAAATGTGCAAAAATATATACACAAAAATAATCACTACATAAATGATACAATAAAATAAAAATGCCATCAGCCTAAATGTTCACCAATAAGTAATTAGCTAGGCATATAGAGAACATTCCTGCTATGGAAAATGATTGAAGTCACTGAAAAAAGACAGGATTGATCTACATTAATGACATGGGAAAATGTCTTAAATGTATTGTCAAATGAAAAAAAGTTACTTTTGAATAAATTTTACTGGTAAAAATATGTAATAATAAACATTTATTGAGCGTTTAACATCAGAGCTGTTAAGATTTACAAAGAAACCAAATTAGCCTACAGCGTTATATTTACTAAATGCAGAACTGGGTCGTGAAGCCAAGCAATCTGGTTCAAGTTCTTATACTCTGTAGCCATCGTATTTATTGCTTCTGTCAACATATGGGGGAAAACCCGCCCAAAAAAATTTGCAGGAAAAACACTTTAAATTATTAATTAAATAGAGTCCTAAAATAGGTAACAAGGTTATAGGGATTCTTAGTTTACATATTAGACAATACTCTCCAATTATTTTACTATAAACTTATACAGTCATAGGCGAATATAATGACTTTTCAGTCAACTATGGACTGTACATATGAAGGTGGTCCCATATACATAACCTACATGTGTAGTAGGCTATATCATCTAGGTTCATGTAAGTACACCCTACATGCAAGTTCACACAATTACAAAATCACCTAATGACGTATGCATGACTTTGTTAAGCAACTTATGACTGTAAGACTTTCTAAAACTGAGGGGAAAGGCTGTCTCCAGTCTATTCCTAAGGAGACAGGCAGGAAGGCAAAAAGAGTTAAGAGCATGGACATTATCATCAGACAGACAGTACCGACTTCTGCAATTATTTTCCAGCAAAAGGTCAATCTTGGTCTTAAATTATCACAAAGAATAAGAAGTTGCCTATGTAGATATATGAACCCCAGAAGATCAAACAGCAGGTATACAATCCTGCTGTGAACTGTTAATTTACTTTGTTCTATGGTGCTCTTGAGGAAAAAAAAAAAAAAAAAAAAAAGTCCAGACAAGAAATGCTTAAACAAGTTCTGGGCACAAGCACTGAAGGTGTCTCCTTTCTCCAAACTCAACTGTGAGCCTACTAGGAAAATTTATCTTCCTCATTCAATATAGTCAGGGTCTAACTGAGAGGAGGCACTCAGGAAATAATGTTCATTAGATTAAAAAAAATGAGTTCTAGGGCCTCCCCAGTGGTGCAGCGGTTGAGCGCTGGGTTGCAAAGCTGCCTGCGATCTCTACAGCACCGGTTCGATCCCTGGCTGCTCCCTGGCCATGGGAGGAGGGTCCCACATGGCGCGCAGACCTCTCCTGCTGCCCGCTGCTCCCCTCAGCAGTGTACTTCGTCACTCTGTTCTGCTCTCCACTCTGGCTCTGGTGAATTCTCTCACCCTCCCACACCTCTGACTGTACCCAGTGCTTGTATAAATAAATAAATAAACAAATAAAAATCTTTAAAAAAAAAAAAAAATGAGTTCTACATATTTATTAACTTCCCTGAAGTAAGTTCAGCCATTTGCAATTATTTTCCAATAAAAAGGCCAATCTTGGGCCTCCCCGGTGGCGCAGCGGTTGAGCGCTGGGTTGCAAAGCTGCCCGCAGCCTCTGCGGCGCCGGTTCGATCCCCGGCTGCTCCCCGGCCACAGGAGGAGGGTCCCACATGGTGCACAGACCTCTCCTGCCGCCCGCTGCTCCCCTCAGCAGTGTACTTCGGTCCTTCTGCCTGCTCTGCTCCCCGCTCTGGCTCTGGTGAATTCGCTCACCCTCCCGCGCTTCTGACTGTACCCAGTGCTTGTATAAATCAAACAAACAAACAAACAAATAAATAAATCTTAAAAAAAAAAAAAAAAAAAAAGGCCAATCTTGGTCTTAAGTTATCACACAGAATAAGAAGTTGCCTACACAAAACACTACATGACATACATCTCAGCAACATCTTTAAAGATGCATCCCCTAAAGCAAAAAAAGTGAAGGAAAAGATGAGCAGCTGGGACTACATCAAATTAAAAAACTTCTGTATAGCAAAACAGACATTAAGCAAAACAAAGAGGCAACCTACTGACTGGGAAAATTTTTTTTTGCATATAATAGAACTGATAAGGGACTGATCACAAAGATCTACAAAGAGCTCACACAACTCAACAAAAACAAAGTAAATAATCCAGTCAAAAAATGGGCAGAAGAGCTACAAAGACACTTCTCTAAAGAAGAAATGCCAATAGACAACAGGTATATGAAAAAATGTTCAACATCACAAAACCACTTGTGGTTTTGTGCAAATCAAAACCACAATGAGATACCACCTTACACAAGTGAGAATGGCACATATTAAAAAAAAGGCAACAGATGTTGGCGAGGATATGGAGAAAAAGGAACTCTCCTATACTGCTGGTGGGAGTTCAAACTGGTCCAACCACTACGGAAAGCTGTGTGGAGGTTCCTCAATCTGCTAAAAATGGAGTTTCCATATGACCCAGCAATTCTACTCCTAGGAATATACCCAAAGAATACAAAAACATTAATTCAAAAGGAAATCTGCACCCCTATGTTTACTGCAGCACTATTTACAATAGGTAAGCTATGGAAACAACCCAAATGCCCAAAAATAGATGCTGGGATCAAGAAGAAGTGGTACATATACACAATGGAATACTACTCAGCAATCAAAAAATGATAAACGCATGCCATTCGCAGCAACATGGATGGAGCTGGAAGGGATTATGCTCAGTGAAATAAGTCAGAAGGAAAAAGGAAAAATATCGGATGGCTTCATTCATAGGAGGAATGTTGGAGAACCAAATAAGGGACCAGGAAAAAAACTAATTATAATAAATCAAAAAAGAAAATTAACAGGCAACTATTAATCAGAGACACTGCAGGAGAGGGGGAAGGAGAGAAATCAAAACAGGGGAGGGAATGTGTTCTTACACAAGGGGCTATGGTGATGGTGAACAGGTGAATTGGTGATGGGAATTTTGCGGGGACTACACCTGAAAAGAGAAAGCATGCATTGTGCAAAAAGGGAAGAACGTAAAATATAATACAATTAAAAAAAAAAAAAAGTTGCCTATGTAGATATATGAGTCCCAGAAGATCAAAAAACAGGTCTGCAGTCCTGCTGTGGACTTATAATTTACTCTTATTGGCGCTCTGAAGAAAAAAGCCCACAAAAAACATTTTAAGAACTAATAGAACTACAGAGTACTTTCCAAGCAACTCATTGATAGCTGATGTACATCCTTAGAATGCTACTTTTAGCCAGGGATGCTGACCAGCAAGAAAGAATTGAGTAAAGGAAATCTGGATAATAGATTACTTTGTTCTGAAAACAGAAAACTGCACACAAAACACTAAAATGAAATAATTCTAAAGTCAAAAGAATACATACATTTATTGTTACCTGCTTTAACTGCAGAGGTGCAGGTTTCAACTGATACTAGTCCTTTGTCAAAAACTGGTACCGTGGATGTCGGGGTGAGGAATTTCCTTTAGAAACAGAAATATAAACTTTAGTATGTAAGAAGCTTCCTTCTGCTCTAAACAGTTTTAACCCTATTCTCTCTTCAATTTGTCATTTTGTTGGGAACATAATAGTTCAAGCAGTCATTAAAAACAAATAAAAACTTTGCTAGTCTTGTGTCACCGAATGGTAGGGAATAAAACTGCCTTCTGAATCATATCCCTTATGCTCTACCTTGGTGCTATAGGAGACTTGCATCTCAACATACTGAAATCACTAAAAATGAGACAACATGGTAGAATGCATGGCTCTAAATGAAACTTTGGTCTTTAAAAAAATAGAATTACCAAAGAACATAAGAAGTCTGTCTTAATTCCTCATGTCTGTGCATATTCAGGAAATATCTAGTACCATTCTAAGATTTCTTGATAACCTAAATAACACACAACTGTACAAGTAAAACTTTTGTAAGCATGGAAAGATCTAATAGTTAATCTATGCATATTTTACTATTGGTTTTCATTAAATTTTATTAATATTTGAAATCTTCTCTAGAAACTTACCCTTCATGGATTGATGGTACACAAAGAGAAGCTTCAACTCCTTGAATGGGATTTAAGTGATTCAATTCTGAAAGTGCCTCCTCTGCAACTAAGAGATCCTTTGTTTCAGCATCTTCTAAAGTGCCTATAAAACACATAGTTAAAAAAAATTTTTAAAAGATTTATTTATTTATTTATACAAGCACTGGGTATAGTCAGAAGTGCAGGAGGGTGAGAGAATTCACCAGAGCCAGAGCGGGGAGCACAACAGGCAGACCGACGAAGTACACTACTGAGGGGAGCAGCGGGCATGGCAGGAGAGGTCTGCGCACCATGTGGGACCCTCACTGGTGGCCGGGGATCGAACTGGCACTGCAGTTGCTATGGGCAGTTTCGCAGCCCAGTGCTCAACCGCTGTGCCACCAGGGAGGCCCATTAAAAATATTTTTAAATAAAAATTTATGCTACATATTTAGTAATACTCATGGTCTTGGATGATTATTTTTTTTTTGAAGTTACTGGACCCACTTTTGTACTTTTAGGTTTACGGTAACCTTGGCATCAGACTGCCAACCATTCCTATTAATCTTCTGAACCTATGGAACAGCTTCCCTGTAACCAATCCACTTCAGACTTCTAACTTAACAGGCCCCATTTCAAGTGTTTTACATAATATTAACTCACTTAGTCTTCAACATTCAAAGTGCTATTATCACCACTTTACACCATTTTACAGGTGAGAAAACAGAACCATAAAGTTATACCGCATATCCCCAGTTACGAATCTAGCAATATTTGAATCTAACCCATTTTATTCAAGTCTGTGCTATATATTCCCTTGAAAGAACAAAATAAATTTCTACCGAGACCAATCGCTTTAAGAATCATCAAAGAAGAGGGCCTCCCCAGTGATGCAGTGGTTGAGCGCTGGTTGCGAAGCTGCCCGCAGCCTCTGCAGCGTCGTTTTGATCCCCGGCCACTGAGCAAGGGTTCCACATGGTACGCAGACCTCTCCTGCCGCCCGCTGCTCCCCTCAGCAGTATACTTTGGTCCTTCTGCCTGTTCTGCTCCCTGCTCTGGCTCTGGTGAATTCTCTCACCCTCCTGCGCTTCTGACTGTACCTGTGCTTGTATAAATAAATAAATCTTTAAAAAAAAAAAATCATCAAAGATGCTGCTTTGAATATTCTCATCTAATATTTATCATTCAAATATTTTAGGGGAACACAACCTATCAAAATAGTGATGCTGGGCCTCCCCGGTGCCGCAGCAGTTGAGCACTGGGTTGTGAGGATGCCCGCGGTCTCTGCGGCGCCGGTTTGATCCCCGGCTGCTCCTGGGCCACCGGAGGAGAGTCCCACATGGCACGCAGGCCTCTCCTGCCACCCGCTGCTCCCCTCAGCAGTGTACTTCGGTCCTTCTGCCTGCTCTGCTCCCCACTCTGGTGAATTCTCTCACCCTCCTGAGCTTCTGACTGTACCCAGTGCATGCATAAACAAACAAACAAATAAATAAAAACATGCCTCTATTTAAAAAAAAAAAAAATAGTGATGTTAACTTCTAGATATATGCTATTTATAACAACAGTTGTAAACTCTTACATCATTTAATGTTTATGATGTCAGCTTTATTTAATAAAGACTAACTGTTCTGGTCTCTTATCCTAAGAAAACTTAGCTTAAGTTAAGCAGAAAATGTCTCCCAAAAGAAATCACCTGACAGATTGTATATTACTATTTGACTTCACAGATTTAAAGTTAGGAGTTACCTTTAAAAAATTTGCTTTACTGCATAGTGGATAAGAAACATGGATAATGTTTTCTAAGCAAGTTTCTCCTCTTTTCCATATTCCTGTGGCCCACTCTCTGGACCCTAGCCTAGCAATTGTCAGACTATGTTCTGAGTACTTCTTTGTTTTTCACTAGTCTCTAAATTAGATTTAAGCAGCTCACTCCTACATAGAAGCTCACCAATCACACAACAACAGGGGCTCAGACATCTTTTTTTGATAGATAAATATAAAAAAAAATAAATTCATGGGCCCTTGGACCAAATTTATTTTGATTGTAAGTTATTTTGGAGGTAGGGTTGGAGAGAATGAATTTCTGGTTTCTAAGCAGCTTTTTAGAAAGCTGAAACTGCAGGATAAATTAAAAATCATAATGGCAATCTAGCCTTTAAAGTCAGTATTTATTTCGTATTACTACCGGAAGGCCTTAAGGCAGAATCGCCATCTGACATGTCTTAGAACCTTCATGTTTTTCAAATTTTATTTCAAAAAAAAAAAAAACAAAACCTCACAAAAATTATCCTCCCCTCAAATCTTATACATATTTATAGTAAAAAAATGTAACTAATACTTGCAGGTAGAAAGAATAAAATGTTTTGTGTCTAGAACTTAGTACACTGTGAATTATGTAATTATGTAAAACCTGTTACTTTCCTTATGGTGGAAAAAATTCCACTGCAAATTTTGTGGCAATGGCCAATTATTTGGAAATGTGTTCTTACCTGTTTGCTTCTCCAGTTCCGGAAGAGTTACCTCCAGCTCAAACACATCTTTATCACCATCCTTCTTGGTTTGTTCGGATAAATTAACAATTAGTTCAGTGGAAGAACTTGATGGCTTTGAGGTCATGAACATATCTTCAAAGTCTTCTGGTGCATCCTGATATTCCAAGGTAGTCTGGTCTGATCTGCTTGAGGTATTGCTGTTTTCTTTACTCACATCCAGTTTCTCTAAATTTTGTGAAGGCGTATCCTCTGACATCACAGCAATTTCCTGATGACCCTTCTCTGGGCTATTCAGGGAAAAAGATGTTCTCTTATCTTTGCTCTTCAGCCATTCAGTTTCTGCTGGAACGTCACATTTATGAAAAGATGTAACTGCCCTTTTGCCGTCATCTGCAGCCTGTTAAGTAAAAGGTTTGGAGGAAAATTTTTTTTTTTTTACTAGTAAAAATCAGTCATGTGGGGTGCTAAGTTATCCATCATCCCAATCATACCAATCCTTTCGAAGCTCTACACTCTCTCCAAAGTCTCTTCTCAAACTACATTTTTTCTAAATCCTTACACGGTTAAAATTTAATGGTCAATAATTTCCCTATTTGAAAACAAATCAAGTAAAAAAGAATACAGTATGTTAAAAACAAACCAAAAAAAAAAAACCCCAAAGCATGAAGTGTTTGGTTGTCTTGATTCTAGTTCTGTATCTGCCACCAAATAGTTATTTGACCACAGGCAGTTTATTTAGTGCCTCAGAGTCCTATTCACCTGTACACTATGGGTTTGGCTCAGCCAATGCCACCCTAATATTTTCTAAGCTAATATTTTCTGATTTCATGACTATCTGCAATATTACAATAAAAAACAACAGTAATTATTTAAATTGATTTATCCAACAACTCTTAAGACTTTTTTGTCTCAACTATTATCAAACTCACTCCAGCAGTCCATTTTGTGGTCATGCCTTCTTCCATGAATGAAATTCTGGTTTCTTTAAGTCGTAATGGAGGCGTAAGAGATGGACCAGGTGACAGAGACGGAGATGCTAAAGGTGTTGTTCGAAGACCCGTTCTTAGGATGGACTGAGGGGTGAACTCGGAAAATCCAGAGGCAGTAACTGACATGGCCAAAGTTTTAGCTTTCTATGACAAAGAGCAAATGGATTCCACCATTAGCATTTGCAAAAGGCATATAAATATAACTAGCAACCAAGTCAACTGAGGGAATCATAAGAGTGACTACATTCTCACCACCATAAACACACTACTAACCATTTTTATTACAAATTACTATTTAGAAAGAAAATAAAAAATTCTACTCAGGACATTCTATATGTAACTTTCTTAAGTAAGATACTATCTACAATCATTCTAGAAAATAAAGTGCCAAGATAAATTATTTAACAAACAGCTTAGGAAACTTGTTAGATGAAAGAGATGATCATGTAGGTGAGCTGACCTCCGTTAATTAATTGCAAGAAGCTAATCTAAATAAGTAAGATTGATGTTAAAAGAGTATTTCAGAAAAAAATATAATTTTATCCATGAACGGTAACTCATTTACTTATAAGAGTCATCGAAGACTAACTATAATGAATAAAAATAATTAGGACAGAAACCATTTAGTAGAAATAATTGCTTAATTTAATCTCTCTTCTAAAGAATTAGTGAACATATTACTGGGACCCATTAGATTACTAAATTCCATTAGACCTGTTAAGATTGTATTGTTTTTCTAGACTGTTTCTGGTTAGCAGACAACAAAATTATCCTGATTTAATTTCATTTGAATGTAGTTGTAAAGAACATAAAATGATTGTCTTGTGATAGCTTAAGAGAAAAGAAATACTGCATTAGGTATTAAAACTTCAGGAACTTAGTCTTATTAATCTTTTCAACTTTAGGAAGGAGACTGAAGTAATCATCCTTGATTGAATCAAAAATCATTGAAAGAATCATAAAATTTAACTGCAGAACTAAAAAAGATTTGATAGATAGAGCAAAATTAGAACATGAACTTAAAAAAAAAAAAAAAAACCCCCAAAAACATGAAAGCATTTTTCAAAGGGTCTACACCAATTCTGTAATAACCACACAAGCCTCGGCCTTGTATTACATTCAGAAAGACAATGTAACTGTGAACCTTAAGCGTGTCAAAGGATAAGAAGAAAACTTTTTAAGACAGTATAAAATTACAGTAAGCATTTTGAAAAGATAACCACAAAATATTTTCACAGAGGGGGGAAGAAAAAGACTTAAAGCCATCAATTATTCAGAGATATCATTTATAAACAAATTATTTCTTCCTGCTACTTAAAAAGAACTTACTAGTTTTATTGTGAACTCTAGATATCTAATACTCACCTTAACTACAAGAGGAGTCTCAAGTAAATGTAATTCTGATGCTCTGGAGGTATTCTGATGTGATCCTTTCAATTGTGAACTTACGGGCAATGAACTGGATGCTAGACACAAAGGAAATCTTGGGGGGCTTTGCTGAATAAACCCCGAACACTGAGAAGGCTGAGAGACAGGATGAACAACCAAATCCAGTAGTCTGTAATCAAAATATACATATGAACAGAAAACTCCAGGTAACATTTATTGAGATATATTGAGGGGGGAAAAAAAATCTAAAGAATTTAATATTCCATTTACTTTGATTCAGAGTTTTATATCCACTGGTAAACAGATAATCACATGCTAACATAAATGAAGTTAAGGGGCCTTCCTAGTGGTCCAGGGGTTAAAGTCTCAGTGCTATCAAGCTATCGCCAACCACTGTGGCCTGAATTCAATCCCTGGCTAGGGAGCTAAACCACATGGTGCAGCAGACCTGTATCTTGCCCGCTGCTTCCCTCAGCAGTGTATTTCAGTGCTCACCACTATGTCTCTGGTGAATCCTCTTACCCCTTGCTCTCTGGTCTACACTCCAGTTCTTGTATGCATGAATAAAATATTTAAAAAAAGAATGAAATATGTGAAGTCAAGTATATCCCCACGATCAGTTCATAAAGTCAGAAAATTATTCAGCAGCAAAAAAGAGAACTAGGAATTCTAGTTAACTAATGCAGTAAATAATACCATCACCAATGCACAAATTCTAGTTCTCTTCCCTATCTTTTACCAATATGTAGAGTCCACACTATGTACCAGACATTTCTTTTCAAATGAAGATGAATTGTTGATGACTTAAATTACTAAAGAAAACAAGGTAAAACTTCCCCAGCAATCCATCTGCTAAAAAATTCATTGTTACTAACATGTAAAAATCTTTTCACTTACATGCAAAATACTGGTTTGTTCTTTTAGTTCTGATCACAATAAAGACTAATACAACAAGAAAAAGCCAATAGTTACAAATTAATAATGTAATGACAAAATGGATTCTCAAGACTCAACTGAATAGTCTTCTAGACTGTCCTGAATCCAGTACATACCAAATATAAAATTGATCTCATCGATGACTTGCAATTAGCATGCCTAGTCCAAATAGTTTGAAAATTTTAATTTTTAGAAAAAAAATCTAATTTCAGAAGTGAAATTTTCATGTTACAATTCCTGGTGGACCATTTGATAAGGTCACTCATTTTCCAGTTTCCTAGTTGTTTATTTGATAGCTATTTTTTCTATCATTAAAATCACTACCTTTTTACTACACCAAAATGCCTATGTGGTTCTAGTGAAAATAATCAGTAAAGTACATGTTTCAGAGCCTGGAAATAAAAACTTAGAGTTCTGTGTCTTCCTTGTTATTCTATCCTTTAGGGTAAATGCAATTTTCACTATGACCAACATAGGTCAGGTGTTTTTAAGATCGAACCTGTTTTTTACCCAGTGGGGAAATATATGCAGGAAACATTTTCTTAAGAGAGGGTCTTTCTACTAACAAGTACTAAGTACAGTTTTGAGACTTCCACCAAATTAAGAATATCTGATCAAGCTGCTAGATATTCTTCCTCTAATGTCTGTTCTGATTCTTCTTTTCCTTCTCTGCTTCATGTATCTTCAAATTCTGTATTTGTTAATTGTTTGCTCATTTTTATATAGAGCTCCCAAATATATAATTTGTTAAATGCCTTTTATATGCCAACATTTTACGTTTAAGGTGCCAGTTTATGAACAACTGCTTTTTAAAGTAGGGGCCATGCAAAAAACATTATCTACTGAGTAAAATCAAAATTCTTATGCTAACAAGACTACTGTATTTAAGTTATACTAAAAAAAAAAATTGAGAAAATATCTTTATATTTTTGATTATGGTATTTCTTCAAAAAAACATTAAATATTGCACTAGGTCTTAGGATTTTCTCAACAATTTTTGATCACGAGCCAAGCAAGTAATGTATTTGGAACACAGTCAAAACACAAACTACGTAAAATAGCACAGACCCTTATTATATGCAGCGCCTGTTAATACTACCCATTCTCTTTATCAGTCAGTCTAGTCAACTTACTACTCACAAAGCAAACCAGTTTGAAAAATATAGAATTAGGGAATGGAATGATTCTTATTAAAAAATATTTACAACTCAATGGCTTTAAAGGATTCTCAAAGTACTTTTTTAAGTCCTTAGGCCATCAGTCAAAAATCTAAACTTATTAATGTTCCCTTCTTGAACACCAGATCTATAAAAGTACAAAGGGGGGCCTCCCTGGTGGCGCTAGGGGTTAAGACTAAAGTTACGATGCTATCCACAGCCACTGCAGCACGAGTTCAATCCCCGACCAGGAGCTACTCACATGGCACAACAGACCTCTCCTGTCTTACCCGCTGCTACCTTCAGCAGTGTATTTCAGTCAATCTGCCTGTTCTACTCTTTACTCTGGTGAATCCTCTCATCCCCACCCCCGCACCTCTGGCTTGTACCCCAGGTCTTGTATGCATAAATAAATAAATCTTTAACAAGAAAAAAAAAGTACAAAGGGACCAAGAAAAGTGACTTGTGGAAAAAGTAAGAACTACCGAGAGGAAAACAGAAAGTAACAATGATTCTTGAAACAATCTTCTTACACTTTCCTGAGGATACTTAAGAAAACAACCCCAACCAAAATAAATTTAATCCAAAAAATGGGAAATCCTTTCAAGGATTTCTGTTCAAAGGATTCCTTTGAAAAATACATGTTACGTACACTATGAACAGTTTTGGTCCTAATATCAAAAATTAAAATAATTTCATTCCCATGAAATCTTTATCCTTGATAAAATGTAAAGAACAGAAAATTATAACAATCATGGGCTTCATCAAAAAATGAAGAACACATTAAGAAACACTTGTTTGTTCTCCGCTATTAAGTGATTATCAACTGTTTTTCAACTAATGTCCTTTTAAATAAAACACAATCATAATTTCATCTTGAATGTAAAACTTCCATTTACCTATTTACCTTTCTAATACCATAGGATAAGATGTAAAAATATTACTGCATGTGAAGAAATCATACAAAAATTCTAAGCAGACTGCAGTTGATGCAAAATTTCCTAAAATACTGCCAAAATTATTTAAAACAAAAGCAAGCCTTAAAAACTCACTCAAGAACACAATCTTTGTAAAATTTTAATGATAACTGAAAACAACAATGTGTTTAACTACCTAACATTGTGTCTCTGAGAACAGCTGAATAAATTCTTACCTAGAAATTTTTTGTGAGGCTTTTGAAATTGGTGTTCCAACAAATGCCTCAGGCAGCTCTGGATCTGGGAGAGAATATACTATAGGAGATGGTTCTTCTATTTTAGGACTACAAAGAAAATTAATATTTAACTTTTGATTATACATCACAAGGAGTATTAAAAGTATTTAAGAAATTGGGATTAGACAGGAGAGAAAGACTTTCACTTTTTAGTTTGTACATTGCTGCTTATTTAAAATAACAACACAATCATTTTTAAATTTAAAGACAAAAGATTTTTCTGTCTTACATTATTAATAAACTCTTAAGGCTGGACTGTTTATGAATGCTGACAACATCTGGGAAAGAACACACAGCATCACTATAAAAGATGCAAGAAAACGTACCTATTGTAGAGGGAGATGCTATTTTTAGGTTCACTGTTTGTCCAAACCTCTCCAATTTTAGACAACACATTATTGATGAAAGTAGATCTTGTTAACACAGTCCCTGTTACAGTTTTCTTTGGAACTGCTGATAATGGTTTGGGTCTAGAAACTGTAAAATGAAGAATGTAGTGTTTATTTTCATTTAACACAAGGATTTTAATATAAGATTAATATGAAAGTTATTGGAGAACATGGATCTCAAGATTAACAGTAATTAAAATTGTATTTGATTTAGTGGTATCTATGCAGAAATTAACAATTTGGGTTTTGGGGAGATGGTGAAAAAAATTATCCTACCCATTCTCTAAATTGAAAGTAGTTCTTCAAATGAAATAAAGGGGTCTTTCATTCTGTGTTAGATTCCCAAATAAACAAAACTTCCAAAGTCTTACATTTTTTGTGGTAGCATGGGTTACAAAAACAAAGTATCACTGTTTTGTTTTTATCTAAATATAACAATTATTTCAGAAGATAACCATTCAATTTTCTTTCTAGCCAATTAATTGATGGCACTTTCTTTTTTTAACACATAAAATTAAAATTTAAAAATTTTAAATTTAAAAATTAAAATTTTAATTTATATTAAGATTCCCCTGGTTGTCTCATAAGTTATCTTATTTATTCCTTTTTTATAGTAGTAGGTTTGGCTTACAGGGTTGTTTGTGTAAAAGAACTGTAGTATCTTCCACCTCAGATAGTGTTACCACACTGCACACCACCAAGATACACATAATCCATTACCATAATCCTTGATGACATGTTTTAATAAATTTTACCTTCTCGAAGAACTGATGATGTGGACAAATGGTAAGGCTTTGCTCTTTCAACGGCTAATTTTCGCTGGACTCTTGGAAGAATTTTCCCATATTGGTCTAGTATAGAATTTCGAGCAACTGATCTCTCCCGCAAACGAGGATCACGATCATTCTATAGAACATACCATAATTGTTAAAAATATAATTATTAATACCCAAGAATATCTTTCTCTGCTAACATACCCATTCTTCTAATCCAAGGACCTCATATACCTAATTTTATCAATTCTTACAAATAGATAAATTCTACATTTCTCCTACCAAGTCTTCTCCACAACTAATAAAACAATGGCTATCATTTACTAAGCACATACATGTATGAATGCAACATTACTTGACAAATACTTCACAGATAAACAAAGCTTATGGAGTGTTCCGAGAACAATGAGCAAACTAAGAATGAGTTTGACAGCTCATGCTCTTTGCATTACAGCTCCTACAGCTGTTCTTTACTTCTTTATGCAGATATACTTAAGTGTGGGCAGACATCTTAACAGAAATTCTTATAAATAACAATACCCTGGTATCAATTCTGCTATATATGGTAAAAAGAGCATTCGCCAACCTCTAGATTATCTAAATGCTGTGCTCACCAGCCTATAAGCTCTTATAAAAAAGTCATTAGTTTCCTTATTCACATGTACATCAAAATTAAAATAAGTTAGCTATACCATAAGATTAATCTTCAGAGTTTGGTTCAATTTCAAGGCAGGGATATAATTGGCACGTTGCAAATGATGAACTAAAAGGAATTCATGGTTCTGAACACTGGTGCTGGACTGCAAAAATCTCACCAAACACTCCTAGGAAGAACAAAATAGATTTGTAAACTACTAACTTATTCCAAATTTCTGACAAGTTCATACAGGTAAGTCATTACCTGCTCAGTGTCTGTAAATGGTAGCTTCAGTAAATCCTCCATCAGGCCCATTTCCTGACAGACTTCATATGTGTGCTTTAGTAACTCTTCTATATTCAGCCTGTGAGAATGTTGTCGTAATAAACTCCAAGCCTCAATCATGCACCTGAAATCCGTATTTATCCATGTTTAGTCTTCAAAAAGCTGTATTTTTAGTTTATTTTTTATTTTTAAACAATATTTGCTTCCCCCCACCCCCTCAGATTGAGTACCCATAGAATTTCCTTCCCCAAGGCACCCGTGCACCATAACCACAGTCCTCTGTACTCCTCCCAAAAAGCTATTTTAAAATTTTCAAAACAAATAATTTAATCTAAGGACTCTCAAGATAATTTGTACATGTAATTTAAAAGTGCTTTGATAGTTTAAGGAATACTAATCACTCACAATGAAGTGTGCTAATGCCAACAGAAGACAAATCATCTAAGACTTAAATATATTTTTTAATTTACATAACAAAAAACATTGAAAAATATCCACTACGATTGATCATGTTTAATGTAGCAGTTAGAATATTTTGAGAAATCAACAATTTTCAAGACAGAAGAGGAGGTAGAATAAAAAATGCCTAATTAGACAGGGATAGCATCAAGGGAAAAGTTCAAAATCATCATATCTAAGTGAATGGGTAATTTTTATTTTATGAACATCTTAATAAAAAAGTTTTTACTGAAATAACCACCAACATTGGGAATAAAGACTTATATAAACAATGTGTAAAAACAAGGGCCTCCCCTGGTGGTGCAGCGGTTAAGCGCTGGGTTGCGAGGCTGACTGCAGCCTCTGCAGCGCCAGTTCGATTGCGGGCCACCGGCAAGGGTCCCAAAAAACACCAATGTGTAATATGTGAACAAAGCCATACATAGAATTTATTATTCACAATGAAAATGCACTTGAGGAAGTTTTGGCAGTATAGTCCCAGGCTTCCTGTAAATACAAAGTTCCTTTAGGAAGCAAAAGGTACACACTATTGGCAGGTGAGGGCCACCTATTATTTTTGTTGTTCTGGGACTAGAATAGTCTACAAGTTCTTTTCCTCAGGACTTGTAAAGACCACTGACCTAAACAGGTAAGATTTAGGCATATTCCCTAAACATCTACATCTGAATTGCCTTGCCACTTCTCTTTCTACCAGCACAGATAAGATAGTGTGGTTGTTATAACCTGAATGTTTTAGAGGGATAATTTTTTTCCTAAATCAAAAATATAGTAATTTGAAAATGAACACAACATTTTTGTAGAATGAGAAATAATGAAAATAAACTGAATACCTCACTATTAAAAAAAGCAGATGAAGGCATGAAAAGATGTATGTTGAATTTGACTTAGGATGGGTGTACAGAATCTTCACTGTACTTTTTATTTTTGTTTATACTGGAATCTTCTCTTAAAAATGTTTATATAAAAAAAAAAATCCAGTGGAAAAATAGTGATAAAAAGCCATTAAAAGTGGTAGTAAAAACCATGAAAATTAAAAAACATTGACGTGAAAAAGACACAAGTCTTAAAAATATGGAAAACTTATGTCTTCATAAAAACATTTTCAACATAATTTTAAATCCATTGTAAAGCAAAGTAAAAAGACAAATGATAAACTTAAAGGAAAAAACAATCTCAAAGGGTCAATAGCCATAACATACAAAGAATTCTAACAACTACATAAAAAACAGACAGGTAATAAAAAAAGATACCTCTCCATGAAGAGATGTATTTTCTTCTTACTATAATGTGATCAAACACATTATGATTTTCACCTATAAGATGGATATACCGGGCATGCCACAAGCAATGGGAGGTTAAAATGGCATAAACACTTGGAAGGTTAATTTGCTACAACTATCAAAACTACAATTGCAAATATCCTTCCACCCTGTAATTTCACTTTTAGGATCTTATAAAGGTGCAGTAATGTCAAATGTGTGGCAACTCATGGCAAAAGACTGAAAATGGCAAAAAAAAAAAAAGTGAAAATAACATTACATTAAAAATAATCTAAATGCTCATTAAAGTGAGCTACTTAAAAAGAAATACTGGATCATCCACACAATGAACTACTATGCAACAGTTAAAAGTATGGATGCTTTCATGTACTACTGTGAAATGAGCATCAAACTATTGATAAATTGAAAAAAGTGTATTACAGAAGAAAGTATACAGCATACTTTACATTATACAGTATACTTTACATTTTTAACAGGAAGAACGAACATATATGGGTTGTCGGAAAAGTCATGACTCATTTTTGCCTAGAAAATATACATCATGACTTTTCTAACAAACTAATATATTTGCTAACGTATAGCATTAGCAACATCTTAGGAAGTACACAGAAGAACTAATTAACATGATTGGTTTCCAGAGGAAACCAAGAAGATATTTTATATGTTCTGAATAAAGTATATAAATGTCATACTATTCAAAAACAAACAATTAAAAAGACATATTGGACCCTCCTCTCTGGCCTATTGGTAAGTTGTGTTGTTTGTTTTTTGTTTTTGTTAAGTTTTTTACTTTAAGATTCTACTTCCCATTAAATAGTAGGATTCAGATGAATTTATTTCACTCATCAAGTATTAGTCTGTAACAGCATATTAAAAACAAAACACAAATGATCTTTTATCCTAGTTTCCCTCACAGCAGGAAAAGATAGTAACCTCCACTTCAAGAAATGGTTGCTCCATTGCCAACACTTACATACATTTTAAAATTAGAGTCCCTAAACTCCCCTTAATCCCTTGTTCCTATGGTTGCAAAGTCACAGTGCTAGGAAGAGCAGTAAGAAAAATAATCTAATTGATGAAAGACTAGACTACCATGTTGGCAGTAAGCCATTTCAATAAAAAAATATATGGGGGTTCTTTGTTATACAAGACAGAAACAGCCACAAAAAAAATTCAAGAGGCAAATCTTTAAAAATGCTATTCTACCTAAGTACATAATCATCACACTGTACAGACCAAAATGAAAAAATAAACTCCAGAGAAGTAAACAAGCAACCACTGATTTCTAGGCAGTATAAAAGCAAAAGACTGGGAAAAGGTTTACCAGGTATAAAAGAAATGTTGGTGTGGCTCTATTGACAATTAGCCTATAAAAATAAAAGGTGATAGTAAAAAAAAAAGAAAAAAGAAAAATTTAAGCTCTTATGTAACAAATTAAACTACAAAAAGCCGACAGTATTACAAGAAATAGAAAATTCATTGTTAGGACACAAGCTGCCTACCTTTCTTAGTAACTTATTAAACAGATTACACACAAAAAAGTCATTGACGCTGGAAGATTAAAGTCAAAATGAACAAATGTGATCTCTTAGACAAATATACTTGAAATCTCACCTAAAAAATGAGTTACACACTGATGACCTACCAATGAATAAAACAAGTCTTACTAAATATAAAGGATGGGCATCACAATGATCATGATGTGTGATCATAATGCAATTAAGTTCCAGAAGAAAAGGTCATTTTTCAAACCTCCATTTGATAATTATACCTTCTAAATAACTACTAGGAAGAGAAAAATATAATGGGACTGTAAATATTAAAGTTAGAAGACAAATATAATTAAAATTGTGGCATGAAACCAAAACAATGTGCAGAACATTCAGATTTGTATTTTTATGACAGATTTAAGAATAAAAATGAGAAGCCACCCAATCTGAGTGAAAAAGTACAGAATTCAAGAAATAAAATTGAAAAGCATACATAATGATTGCACTTACAGAAAAAAAATTCTTAGCTCTATTATACTTCTAATAAACTAAGACAAAACAATGTTAAATAGCTGAAAATCTAAAGCATATTTTTCTACCTTCAATCTACCACTGTACTGTGCATCATAATTAATTTTCAAGTAACCTGTATTATCCTTCTCCTTCCCTAAGACCTTTATGCTGGTAGCTTTTCCATGGTGTGAACTGTATTGATGGACATACCATCACAACTGTGGCTTGGCATACAGGTTACTTAACATTGACAGATCAAGAATCCTAAGAATAGGGCTCCCTGGTGGCACAGGGGTTAAAGCCTCAGCACCATCAAGCTATTGCCAGCCACTGCATCATGAGTTCAATCCCTGGCTAGGAAGCTAACCCACATATGGCGCAGCAGACTTCTCCTGTCTTGTGTGCTGCTCCCCTCAGCAGTGTATTTCAGCATATCTGCCTGTTCTGCTCCCCACTCTGTCACTGGTGAATCCTCTCACCCACTGTACCTCTGGCCTATACCCCAGTTCTTATATGCATAAATAAATAAAAATAAATCTTTGAAAAAAGAACCCTAAGAATACTATGTAATAAAACCAAATAAAAGTAAAATATTATACATTGCTAATTCTATTTCATCAATTGCACTAATATACATGACCAAGAGCCTGTCTGTACTCTCAAAACATGTACTTACCTATTAAAAAGCAGAACGGTTAGGTGAAGGATAACATCACTACCTTTGGACACCGTTGGCTTCATTGTCTGAATGTATCTGAGGGCTTGTCTGTGTTCACCCTGACTCATGAAGGCTTGAATAATTTTTGAATGTTGCCATGATACAGGCTTTGCAGTAGCTGGGTGAAACAGAAGATCCAAACCACTCTAAAAATTGTAAGAAAATTGATAAATATTATGTTTTACATCTGGACAAAGTAGCTAACACTTTAAAAAAAAAAAAACAAAAAACCAGGCATTACTAAGGTCTCAAAAATCAGGATCAAACAGTTTAAATATGTTACTTTAACTTATGGTACATTTTTATTTTTAAATAAAGGCCTTATACTTTTGAGATTTTATTATGACATTATAATTTTTCTACCACCAATTTCAGTACTTATCAATGCAGTTCCCCAATAGATCTCTGAGATAATCATCATGGCATTTGCACCAGGTGTATTGTTTATTTATTTTCTTCTTTAGAAACGAACCTGGAAGGCCTCCCTGATCGCACAAGGGGTTAACACCCAGCCAATGAAGCTATCCGCAGCTACTGCAGCACGAGTTCGATCCCTGGCCAGCCAGGGAGCAACCCACATGGCACAGACCTCTCCTGACGCGCCAGCTGCTCTCCTCAGCAGTGTATTTCTGTCACTCTGCCTGTTCTGTTCCCCACTCTGTCTCTGGTGAATCCTCTCACCCCCAGCATCTCTGGCCTGTACCCCAGTTCTTGTATGCATAAATAAATAAATCTTAAAAAAAAAAAAAGGAACCTGGAGTTCTGAAGTGTTTTATTCTTCTATTCTTACTGCCTAACATGCTTGGTGAAAGTACTGAATAAACTGAGTTCTTATTTTTAGGAGTAGAACACGTATCATGAATATCAAATTTAATCTGGTTATGCAATTTTCTAAAATGCTGATTAAAAAAGTGTACATTCTAAGCAAACTAAGAGACTTACCTCATAGTCGTTGTGATCTATCAACCAAAACCCTTGAATAAGTTTAACCTGGTCCCAAGAAACGGCAAAGGCAGTTGGAAATGATTCAATTGAAGTATTTGTTTTGTTTGGAAAGGAATACATAATATCAAGTAGCAAATAAATTGTCTTTAAAAAAGAGAATTAAGGACAATAAACAAAGTAATTCCTACACACGTATTTATAATAGGTAGCAATAAAATACAGCAGAAAAGAGGGAAGAGACTTGTTTTACTAGTCAGAAAACCGTTATGGATATCTAACAATGGGGTTATGGTTTTACTAAATGTGGGTATGGCCAATCCCACCTGTGCCTTTATTTCATTCTCAATGATTACAACCACAAAGATGAATAAAACATACTTTTTTCATAGAGTCTGCAGCTTAGCAATTTAAGAAACAATAGATAAAACCCTCACCAGCAAAATCTGGCAGCTTAAAGGAAGCACATCATGTATCTTATAGATAATGATTGAAACTGCATTTTTAGACTATGAAACTGGCATTAGTATACAAATGTAATGTAAAGACCACAAGGCTTGAATACAATGCCGAAGGCTAACTTATATTCATATTCAGAACGTAAGTTAACCTCTTGAAAATAACTACTTGTGTTTTAGAGCAGCTGCTCTTAACTTTGGGAATATCTTGGACCTACTTGAAAATCTGAGGGAAAATAAAAACAAGTCAAAATTTTTGCATTTTCAGGCTAAGCATAGGCCACTTTAATTCTACTGACAGATTCTGGGTTAAGAACTTCTTTTTAAAAAATCCAAAAGCATACTGAGACTGAATTGTATGTGTAAGGTACCTATAGTAAATTTTTTTGATTTTGGTAATAGATAAATTATTTGATAAAAATGTAAAGGATACAACAAAATGTTTGCTTGCTTCAGTAACGTTGTCCAGTAGGTAAATGTCAAGTAGTGCCTGTAAAAAGGACCAAAACTTCAGTTCATTTTACATATTCACTCATTCATTCATGCTCCCTATTTACTCCAAGTACGTGCCCAGCTGTGAAAAACACAGTTAAGCATGCCTCTACCCTCCCTCCTCAATGCTGTATATTCTTTAAGCGATGTTATTGTAAACCTACATGCAAACTAGTAGGAGGATATTTTCCTGTGCCTCCTTCATCACGTTTCCACAACTTCTCAATTCGATCTCCTAATTGAGAAACCATTCCATCAATCATCAAGCAATCGGGATTCCACTTCCCTCTGTAATAAGGACAGCATTAAGAATTATTTTAGTGTCAATATCATTAAAACAGTAAGTATTACATTCTTAAAAGGAAGAAGAGTCTATTAAAAGCAGAAAAGTTGAGAAAATGACCCCAATTAGCATCATGAGAACTCCAGATGCAAAGATTTAGTCAGATAAAATAAGAAGCCTTAAGGCTTGGTCATCAGCAAGTCATTCCGTCATGGTCAAGTCCCAGGGTACAATGTGGTTCAGCCAGTCAAATGTCTAAAGCTGTTCTATTTTATATCATCATGAACAAGTTACAAAAATTATGGCAGTCTGTACACTGGAAAATAATACTGTAATTCAAAGTTATACAGTCAACACCTTCAGCTTCATTAGTTGGACCTGTCCTTTAACCTCAGTTATTTCTACAAAAAAGTATTAACACCTTCAAGGTGATAAGCAGATACAGTCCCTGTTACTTCATCTAACATTAATGACAGCAGAACTACTACTTACTGAGCTTTTTCTATAAATTAGGAATGTCACAAAGTGACTTGCACATAGTTTTATTTATCCTTATAACGACTTTATAATTTATGCAACAAATAGGATTAGAAAGCTCAGCAAAGCTGTCCAAAGTTATCACTTAGGGAAAAGATGAAATATTTAAATAGGCCAAATAAATTGGCCAAGTCCAGGCTCACTATCCTACTGGTTCTCAAAATTTGCCATGCATCAAAATTATAGTTGGCACAAGCTTTAAAATACTGTTTCGCAGGTGACTTATGCTTCTCAAAAATTCTGTTATTCATTCCATCTTAAGGAAGAAGGATTTATAATTCCAGAGGTAGGGCCCAAGCCCACAACACTACTCTTTCTTCTATTAATTCTACTTCTGTACTTGAAAGGAACCAACTAGATAATCAGGTAGTCAGAAGGGAAGGGAAAGATAACGAAAATAAGGGGGGACAGGGAGTGGGAGGAAGCCTGGTGGTTGAAATAATGATATGGAACTGTTAATGGAAAGAATGTAAAATAGCTGGTTGGTGATACATCTGATGTTTTGATAAATAGTAGCTTCTAGTCTTTTTCTGAGTAAGAATTCTCAGGAAAGCTACATGCTTACATGACAGAATCTCTTCTAATAAATCAATCAGTGGAAATAGTTCTACTTAAGAAATAATAAGCAGCTACTCAAGTTCTAAAACAAAGGTAAGACAAGCATTAAAACAAAAATAGTAATGCTATTAGCAAATTATACTTGACTGAAAAGTCCACCCATCTATTTTGTGACATGAATTCTCTTTATCTGAGAAAGCTTTGAGTTCTTATTGAAGTTTTTCTAAAATGTTGTTCGAAGGTTCTGAATGTATTATATACCTTGCTAAGCGCTCACACTTCTGTCGACGACTTGTGTAGTAGTTCTGAATTACAGGGTAGTTGTAGCATAACCTTGACAACTGCACAGCATCATCTAGAGTATAAAAGTGGGGGGGAAAAAGCTAATATAGCTCAACATTTCAAGTTACACACACTCATGATGTACTATAATTTTATAATGATATTTAATTTGCAGGCTTCTAAAACTTAAGTAATCAAAGAATACTACACATCCCTTTATTAACAGATGCACAGGTGAGAAGAGTATCTCATGAAAGTTTATTACAACAAGATGTCATTAAAACCTTGGAAAAGCTTTTACAGAAAATGATTTATTCCCTTAGACACAAATGTTCATTTGAAAGCAAGCAATGCTCACAATTTCTTCAAGTCAAAATCTAAGAGAATTATGAAAAGCTAATGGCAATTATGCATCATCATAGAAGCACAGCTAAATAAAATCTTATGTCTTTCCTGGAATTGCAAGAAGTGGGACACTTCGGAATTGTGTTCTAAACAAATATAAGTCAAATTCTCTATTTCATGGCATTGGTAAAAATCATTCCATAAAAGGCAATATTGATGATAAATAATATTGGTTAATAACCATCTTAAAAGAACCCTTAAAGAGAAAGAGGTCAGCAAATTAAAGTTTTATGGATAAATTAGAGTTGATCCTATTGAACCCATGTTCAGTTTATTGCTCTACAATAAACATTTATGGAACACCTCTGTAACAGATCTGGGGGTGAGGCACTAAAAATACAAGTGAGGAAAAATGTAAGGAAAAAAGGTTAAGAATGGAGGAAAACATAAATGAGGTAAGAGATAACCTAAAACATCAGAACACAGTAACGAGATTACTTGTTTCAATACTTATAGAATAAGCGAATATTTTACCTAATCCTTCTGGTAAAAGCCCAGAATGAGAAAACCAAAGAACCACTTGTGCATACTGACAGATGAGCTGGGTAACCATATATTTATTGTGCAAGTCCATAAGACCTGAAAATAAAAGTAACAGTTGTTTTAACTTTTAATTTACCAACCACAATAAAAAAAACCAAGGTACTTAAAGACTTTTTAAAAGCTATTTGGTGATTTTGAACAAAATTTGCTTGAATAAATGATCTATGAATTGATAAAGTAACTCACTGCCTAGACATTTTAGGTAAATGTGCTTCCACCTAAGCTACACTTTCATTGATTGATTTCAGAAGTCAAATATGCATTAATGCAAACTAGCATAGCATCACAAGTTCAAGTTATTCGAACTAGGCCTTTAAATAAATTTGGCCATTTTGTTTAAATAACAAAACGGGGGGCGGGGGGGTTTATAATAACCTCTATGAAAATAATCTTACATATAATTCTAAAATTTTAAATTGTATCAGAAGTAAACAACCTGAAAAAAAAAACCTCTCAAGCTAATTTTGCGTATGCTCATGGCATATCTAATTATGTAGCATGAAAACAAAAACCGCTAGCATTTGAGAAATAATGGTTTCTCTACACAATAATCTAAGACACAGGACATTTATCCTTTCATGTAATTATAAGTATAAAAACTTTTATTAATATACAACAAAGAGCAAACCTCTCTCAGTGATATCTTGGGCCTCTGTTGCAAAACAGCCTAAAACTGTAGTAAGGTTGCTAAGAAGTAAATGGCACTGTTGAATAGATTGTATAGTTTGTGGATCGATGAAGCGACACGAACCATCAAATAATGGTGCACCTTTCAAGATACAACACAAAATTAGTTTTGACACATTAGTAAATCTGAATTCAATTCACAAACACAGAATTTCTCAAATTTCTATTAACCATTATTTTTGTATACATTGAGCTTTACAAATAAAATCCTGAAATTGCAAATGCTCTTAACAAACCTAGAATGGACAGACAAAAATTATCTAAAAAATATGTATGATGAAGTTAAAAAATGTGGCACAGAGGATAACATAAATGCAACTTCAGATTTGCTAGAGATCAGTTCTACTCAATGTTTCTCCTTTTACATTAGAACTTTTATGTACCATGTTTTATGATTAATTTCTTTATTTTACTAATTTATCAATATATATGTTTAATTTTAGGAGTTACATTTTTCCTCCTCCATATGTGCACATGCTTCATCATTCTCCACCAAACCTCTACCAATGCCCTTCTTTCCCCTATTTTTTTCTATCTCTTCCTCCCTTCTCCATTGCTCCCTCTGGTAACCAGCAGTTTTTAAAGAGTCTAAGAATTGCTTTTGTTGTGTCTTGCCAATATATGCTTTTTTTGTATTAATATTGCACAGACAAGTGAAACCATCTCTCTTTCACTTTCTGATTTATTTCTCTTAGCACAGTAATTAATATTTCTTAAAAATCCTTGTTTCACATTCAATCTTCAAAGGGGAAATTAAGACTCAGATAATGTCTTATTACAATAAAATTAATATTTATTATGATTCATTGTAGACTCAGCTATCCTTTTGCTTCAAACTCAAGGTTAAGTTTCCAAATACAATTTTTGCAGAGAAAAAATTGTTTTAGTTGCTACTGGTTACATCTTTTAGGTAAGATTTAATTACAGTAATGTTTAACAAGCGAGTGGGACAGAAAACAAATACCTTAATTCTAAATCCTTTCTCAAATCAAATTATTTGCCTTACTTTCAATATACTAAAAATATGTATCGTATTTTTTATAATTTAATTAGTTTTTAAGAAGAGTCAATAATGAAGCTCAAACCTAAACACCACATTCTGTAATTTAGGGCATAGTAAAATCATACTTTTATGAATTGAAGTGAACTGATTTTTCTTCTTTTTACATAATTTATATAGTCAGTCTTGGAAACATCTTACAGTAAAAAATAATTTTTTTTAATGCCAACATTGGGTAATCAGCTGTTCAAGTTTCTACTATGCAATCCAATTGCCAAAATATTTAAAATTTTTCAGTTTTATAAGTATGCCCTTAAAATACTATAGAACTCCATGTCTCACAAATTATTTAAAAATTCTTTATTAAGAATAACAAAAAAGTCCATTTGTTCATTTATCAAGACACAATAACATAATTAATAAAAACAGACACTTCAAAATAACACTTATATTTTATTTTCACACAGACAGCAATCAAATTACTCCTAACGTTGTATTTCGCACAATGAGCTAATATTCACAACATACCTCAAAAGAGCCAAAGTATACAACAGACTGATAGAAAAAAAATATCAAGAAAAATGACTCGCTATGATGACTGCAACATGCTAGAAAAGGGGATGAGCTTTAACCCTGCCATTCAGCTTTTCTGTATTCAAATATAAATAGAAAATGAATAAGCAGAGGAGCTTCTGGAGGTAACTGGCATATTGTCCTTATTCTATCATCATCAGCATATTTCATAAATTAAATTCCTAAAGTGAAAAAACAAGTAAGGTATAATTCTGAAACTCGTGCCTGTGGACTTACTAACATGCTGCTAGGTTAACACAGTTTTGCAAAATATTTGTGATAATTTTGTCACTGTAACCCAATAAAAAATAGTCTTCTTTTGAGACTTCTTTAAAGCATTTACAATTTCAAAATGATTAAAAATTATGAATGCCATGTACACAAAACCAACCAGTTTCTGAATATTTTACTTACATAGCCTGTCAAATTCCTCTTTTGTGAGAATCACTTTATTCCATGTCCATTCAAGAACAAAGCGCAAATTAGCAGCAGAATTGGGTTGCTCTAATTTGGAAATGTGAAAGAAAAAAATGATTACTAATCACCAACAGAAAACCAGTAACTTTTCAATGGAGAAACCAGATAGAAACTAACCTAACCAAGTGAGAAATGTTAATGCCAACACTAATGGAGACAAACTGGTAATACGTATCTTCTCTCAGTGCATCTCATCTGGGAGCACATCATTTGGAAAAGTAAAACATAAATCTAACAACCATGAGGAAAGATCAATCAACACAAACTTAAAGGCAGTCTATAAAGTAACAGAAGTATTTTTTAAAAATCTCAATATCTTGAAAGATAAAAGCTTAAGAAATACACAAGACAAAGGGAGATTTAAGAAACATGAAAATAAACACAAAGTTTGGTTCTGGATTGGATTCTGTTTTCCAGTTTCCTAAAAATACCACAAAGAACATTATCAACACAACTGGTGAGATTTTATTAAGTCTATATATTAAATGATTTTTAAAACTGTTGAAGTGATTTTCTAATGAAGATCCTTGTTCTTGGAAGGAAATACTAGTGAAATATTTATAAATAAAGAAAAAATATTTTCAACTTATTCGCAAATAATTCAGATGTGTGTGTGGTGCATTGTTAAAGAGAGTGGTACACATAAGAACCTGGATGCATCCCCACAGAATTCTGCTGAATAGAACAGAGTAAATCCCAAAAGATTACAAATTACATGATTCTATTTATGAACATTTTTGAAATGACAAAAATTATAGAAATAGAGAATAGATTAACAGTAGCCAAGGATTAGGGACAGGGGAAGGGAAATGCAGGTGTGGCTAAAAAATGGCAACAGACACTGATTGTGTATACCAGAAGTTTGCTAGATGTCACCAAAGGAGAGGAGTAATGTGTAAATGTATTAAAGGGTACACAGGATCGATCACCTTTAATTGTGTATGTGTGTGTGTACACACACACACACACACACACACACATTTTAAAGTGTATATATATGCATACACACATTCCAAAGTTTAACTAAAAAAAACCCCAAAACCAGCAAGTCAAGAATTTGAAAAATACTTATTTGAAAATAATAACTGGAAAAATAAGTAACTTCTGAATTATTGAAAATTATAATCTTACCTTCTGTTATCCACCTTTTGATACATCCAGTCAAAAGTCCCAGGGAACTTGTGTGAATTGCTGCTGATAATATAGCTTCTAACTGTTCTTCCTAAACCATGCATTAAAAATTAAAAAGAAAAAAGGGGAAAAAAAGATGTGTGATCACAGACTCAGAGACAGCAAGTCTACTTCAGAATATAAAATTTTAAAGGTTTTTAAAAATCAATATGGGGCCTCCCTGGTGGCGCAGGGGTTAAAGTCTCAGCACTATCAAACTATCAACAGCCACTACAGTATGAGTTCACTCCCTGGCCAGGGAGGTGATCCACATGGCACAGCAGACCTATCCTGTCTCACCTGCTGCTCCCCTCAGCAGTGTATTTCAGTTGATCCACCTGTTCTGCTCCCCACTCTGTCTCTGGTGAATCCTCTCACCACCCTGTACCTCTGGCCTATACCCCAGTTATTGTATGTATAAATAAAAAATCTTGGGCCTCCCTGGTGGCACAAGGGGTTAATAAGCACAGCACTATGAAGCTATCCACAACCTCTGCAGCATGATTCCGATCCCTGCCAGCCAGGGAGCTACCCACATGGCACAGCAGACCTCTCCTGTCTCACCCACTGCTCCCCTCAGCAGTGTATTTTCAGTCACTCTGCCTGTTCTGTTCCCCACTCTGTCTCTGGTGAATGTTCTCACTTCCCATACCTCTGGCCTGTACCCCAGTTCTTGTATGCATAAATTAATAAATCTTCAAAAATAAATAAAAAATCTTTAAAAAAATCAGTATGGCCCATTATAACAAGAAGTCACAAATGTTGGTGATTATGTGGAAAAATTGGAACTTCATACACTGCTTGTAGGAATATAAAATGGTAAAGCCAATTTGGAAAACAATCTAACAGTGCCTCAAAATCTCAGAGTTATCAAGACCCAACAACTTCACACATAGGTACAAACATGCAAGAGAAAGGAAAACACGTCCACCTGTCCACTATGAAGCATTATTTATGATGGCAAAAAAAAAAAAAGAAAAACCCCAATACCCATCAACTGAAGAAGGGGATAAACCGAATGTAGTATACTTATATAGTAGATTATACAAGCACAAAATGGAATGAATGCTACAACATGGATGAACCTTGAAAACACTGCATGAAATCAGAGAAGCCAGATATAAAACACCATATATTATCTTAGTCCATCTATATGAAAAGTCTAGAAAAGGTAAATCTAAAGAGACATAAAGTAGTTACACTTTTAAAAACTGAATATTTTAAAAAGGTGAATTTTATGGTTATGAATTATATTCTTGATAAAACTAAAGTTATTGTAACCTGAAGTTGTTGCAAGCCATTTAATATCATTAATGTAAGCCATTTAATATCAGAATCAATAAATTTAAGACATTTAATATCAGAAATCTATGGATTTCATTCATTACAGCAGCAAAAATTCAAGAGATATCAAATGAATAAAAAGACAAATAAACAGGAACAGAGAACTACAAAATGCTAAAGACTCCCCAAAACTAAGAAAAATTTGCATGAATCTAAATGGAGACTCACTAAAGCAATTTCTATTACAATCAGGAATAAAATAAGGACATCTGCCTATGCCTTTATTTTTCAGTTATAAGCCATACACTATGAAAAACTAAAAAATATAAATAGGGGTGAAAGTCTATTTTGCTGTTGACCACATATTTCATAGAAATTTAAAATGAGGGTTAATTTTTAAAAAATAAAATAGAAATTAAAAAACGCCCATAAAATAGAACCAAAGGCAAAAGAGACAAACTGTTGGAAGATAAAGATAACCTAACAGAGTACCAACTCAGGATAGTCAACATTTCAATATCAACTCTTTGTGGAGTTAAAACAAACTAAAAATAAAGAAATTAAGGTTGTGTGAATAAAAGGCAAGGAAAGTTTTTTAAAAAATAGAAGCGCACATTTGGACACTGCAGGGAAAAAACAAGCTACACATTAGAAAAAAAGCTAATGTAGATTACTATATGACTATGCAGTGAATAACATTTATACAGACACAACATATAAATCTGATGAGACTGAGTTTTTCTCTTTATTTCCATAAAATTAACTATTAAATTCCAAGTATAATTTATTAAACTACCAACAATAGTATTTATATTTCATCCAATATGTGAAAGGTTATTTCTTTCTAGCAATTCATTATGGTACATATTTGTTAATTCTTTAGTTAATACAGACACTACACCTGGGGAGAAGGCGCTAAGACATTTTCTTTTTTTATAGGACGATGACCTGGAGTGGGTTTACTTTCTTCTTTCATATTTTACTAACAAATAGTACGTTAAAACATATTTTAATTAAGAGCTGTGACTACGCAATACTTTTTTTTAAAAAAATATTTATTTATTTATACAAGAACCAGGGTACAGGCCAGATGCACGGGAGGGTGAGAGGATTCACCAGAGACAGAACAGGCAACTGATGAAATACACTGTTGAGGGGAGCAGCGGGTGAGACAGCAGAGGTCTGCTGCGCCATGGGGGATTCTCCCTGGCAGGCTGGGATCAAACATGCACTGCAGAGGCTGTGGACAGCTTCACAGTGTGGCACTCAACCGCCTGCACCACCAGGTAGGCCAACAATACTTTTCTTTATAAGAATGACTCATTGGTAAAATGAATTGGGATTAGGAAAATAAAGAAGGGACTAATACCTATTCAGAGGTTAAGATTTTGGCTTCTACAACTGAGTCTGATCCTGTTAACTGTCATACTGCAGGAACACGGGTTTCCTCACTAATTCATTTTCATAAAATACTAGCTTCTTCAGAGCATTCTCATAATATTGCATCAGAATCATATTAAAGGTTTATTAAAATAGATTTACTGGGCTCCATTCCTATAGTTTCTGATTCAGTAGCTCTGGTTAAGAACCAAGAATTTGAATTTCTAAGTGTTCCCAACATTGTTTTTTTTTTTAAATAATAAATTTTATTTTTATATTCCCCATACATTGTTGATATCATGAGGTTCATCTATGTAAAGACTGTTCCCATTCATGTGCACTCATTCTCTTACGCCTATGTTATTCATTCTGGAGGAAAGAAAATGGGTCCAAGACTGATATAACAACTACTCACATGGTACTTGCAGCCACAATGTGCTTTCTGCCCTAAATCCATCCAACACAGCAAAGTGAACTTGGTGCCAAGTTATTGCTTATGGGAACCCAGCCAAACTTAAGACCATGGTTACTGGTCATGCAAAGTAGGCACTATATTACTTACTTTTTTTCCCATAGAAATGATCTAATAGATTATTATTTATTGAGATAACACTGTTTTACACTATATTATGATTTAGGGCAACGGGTTCATACCTCCTCAGATGGAAGTCACCACATTCATCATTACGGCACCCACAGTCCTTAGACCACTGGGCTCTCTGCCCCTCTCTTCTTACCTCGCAACCCCCCCCCCCACTCTAAAAGGTTCAAGCCTGCTGTCATATTTATAGGATTGGTTTAGTTTTATCAGTTTCTTTGTTGTGTTTCTCTATATCCCACATGAGTGAAATCATCCAGTATTTGTCTTTCTCCTTCCGACTTATTTCATTTAGCATAACAGATTTTTATTATATGTTAACATATGACCCAAAATAAAAACCAGTTCAATCATCTCACCTGACTTAAGCTGGAAGGTTGAATATCAACAAGCCTCGGTGAGAGAAGGCCAGCCACAAGACATCGATTATAACCATCAGGAATGACTTCATTGAGAGCTGGTCCTGATTTCTTTAAAAAAGTCAAAGTCTGTAACAGATTGATTAATAAGTTACCAATCAGCACTTAACCCAAATAATCAAATTTAAGAAAAATTATACTTATTACCCTAGTTTACACTTAAATGAAACTAAAAGACACTACATGGAAATTGTGGAAATTTTTCTACTTTTTGTAAGGAATTTATAGGTTGTTGAACTAAACCAACGCTTAATGGTTATAAGTAATGAAACTGATAAGAGTAGTTTATTCAGCTTACATGTTTTTATGAAAGGTGACCCTGTTACCTTTTCTAAAAGCTGACTGATTTGAGAGATCTTGACACACAAGGAAACGGTGCAATTTATACTTCTTGGTCTAATGTAAAGAAATCTGACATGAAGAGTAAGTTATTTATCCACATTTAGCTGATTATCAATTAAAAGGACTGCTGCCTGGTGTTCTCCTGGAAAGTATTTTTTAGCATGTAGTCATCATATGCTCTGCTTCCGTCTTTTCCATGAGGTCTAAATAGCTAAAATCTACATAAGATGGATAAAAAACATTCCTAAGTCCTCTCTGACTGGTTGCCAACAGTTAACTGAGGCTACTAGCTGCTAATCTCATAAACCTAGCAGAAACCACCATTTATAAAATTAATACTCAATAAAGTTTATGTCTATCACCTGACTTCAATACAGTAAGAAATATTTTGTTCACAATGCTATTACCTACCTCTTTCTGAAAACCAGTACAAGTCAAATGAATAACTCCTGAGTTTAATAAACAAGTGGCATCTAAAAAAGAAAACCCACTTATATATTATATTTGCGGTAACAAAACAATGAAATTATCCTAACAACAGCTTTCTAGGCAAAACATTAAACTATTATATGTAATAAGTTTTCAACCAACTTTAGGAACCTTAGATATATTTTTAAACTAAAAAGATACCAAGCCTGATCACAAATGCATTAAATGAGTTAGTATTTGCTACCAAACTGAAAATGGTGATAATTTCTTCATAAAACAAAATACTAATTTTTCATGCACATATATTAATTTCCTAAGTTATCCATGTATTAAAACTCATATTAAGATATATGAACAGACAATATTATTTAGATATACTCTTACACAAATACCTAGAGGTACGTATATACTCTTACATACTAGTTTTCTCAGAAGATAATTGTTAAATACATACCAAAATTGTAAGTGCTTGGGTTAAAAAACTGCTCAGGAGGTGGGTATGAAGGAGGTACTCCTCGACTTAAACTTCTCTCATGGACTAATATATCCAAGATGTAATGTGGAGAAGTCCTACTTACAACAGAATCCAGTGACCACAGTGCAAAATATGGGCAATTATGTAGATATTCTCCTGATCTAAAAGAAAATTTTATAAAATTATGAAGTCACTGAACTGTTACACATACAAATACCAGAGGGGAAAAAGAGCGAGAGAACCATACCTTAATGAGTCTGGCATTTGTGCGTGATACCAACGATTTATGTCGAAAAGTCCCAAATATAGAGAAGGCTTTCCCTGTCCATATATATTCACCTGCCAGGTAAAGACTGAAACACTGGTGTCAGGTGACAAAGCTAAAAGAAGATAATTATTAAAAATAAATAATCTCAACATAAAATTGTCCAAATAAAATTATAGCAAGATTTTCTAAAACAGATTCAACTCCTTTGTGATTTGGTAAAACATATTTATTTCTATTATTTGTTACATATGAATAGATTCAATCATTTGTATCTTTAATGTTTCTCTACTTCAGGAAGACTTTATTAAAAGATAACCATCAGAATTCATTTCTACATTTAAGAAACTTTGTGGTTTTGTAGGTGGAAGTGGAAAATGATTTAAATGAATATTCTCCCAAGTATGATACAAAGTTCGTACCAGGGAAATTAATTCCCTGCCTAAAATGGATGCCTGTGAGCACTAGATCTTAATTCTGGTTGAGGAGTCATCTCACTATACGGTAAAGGGGAGGCAAAGTGCAATAAATACTTCGTGGAATGGAAATTTGGATTGTGGAATAGAAAGATGGTAACAAAGAGACATCGGTAGAAGAGAAGGAAATTAAAAATGAGACACAATGGGAAATATAGAAAGAAGGGTGTAAATGGGGATTAAAAAAAGAAAGTAATGATTTGTTTTCTATGTTTATTAATTAGATGTGAAAACTGGATCACAAATACAAATGTGGGGACTAGAACAAATGACATCTTTGGGATGAAATAACCATGAGAATGAATTCCAATGAAAACACAAACACAACTGGTGAGCATTCACAGAACTGAATGAACCTGACACATTATCACATTTAATGTAATTGTGAGGACACCCCTTTGCAAAAGGTATGATCCCACCCACAAGTGGGAAACAAAAGTTCAAAAATGTTAACTTGTCATAGGTGACATCTACAGAGAGATCTGGGATTTAATTCCATGTTGGGCTCTAAAATTTATGAAACTTTAACTGTGCCAGGATTTTTAACAAGAAGGTAAACAGAAAAAATTCAAGGTAAAGGCATGTTTACCATAAGGCTCAAAAAATATAGGGGGAAACATGATTCTTGTTCTAGAATGGTACCTAAGTCTTCAATTCACACTAGTCAATAGCAATCTGGGGAACAAAAAATACCTATATTTCATAAAGCCTGAGTAAATTTTGTAATTAATATTCTAATTTTTTTAATTACAAGGAGTATGAACTCTAGAAACCAATACCTGTCTTAAATCTTAAATCAAGCTAGATGCTAAATCAAACAATAATATGATTTATATAATTAAAGTACTTTTAACCAACCTTCATTCATGCCTTCCTCCCTGTCCCCATGAGATCGAAATTTTTCTATACTCTGGCATCCCAACAGTTTGGTATTACTAGTCTGTCCCCTTAAAGGAAACATGCCACCTGTGAGATCCACTGTGTATCTTTCTTCACAGTACTCTAATCCCTGAAAGAAACATAATAAAATACACACAAATATATATGTTAGTGGGATTCTAAGCAAAAAAATCATTCCAAAATTAAATGGTCTCAAAATTTCCAGATTTTTCGCATGGTACAAAGTAAATACCAAGAAGTTAAAAAGACTAAAGAAAACAAATCACAGAAAAGGGCTCTAAATTTTTTTATATGGCATAAAGCAAAAGACTAAATTTAACCTCTTGAAAACAACTACCAATAAGTCTCCTAAAGCTGTTATCTAACATGGGAACTTTCATGTACTACTGGTTGGAGTATAAACTGGAATGATCACTGACTTTATATATGTATATACTCTAAGCCAACAATTCATTCCTGTGTTCTCACTGAAATTTTTGTTCTAGAAGAGTTTTATATTTTTCCCACTGACAATATTTTGACAAAATCTCTAAGACTGCCCAAGAAAAATGCACAATCATAAAAATGCCACTCCTATTTCAGGGAATTCATGGCTTTCTTAAAATCTGATAGACATTCAAAACTAGGTTTAAAAGCCAGTACTAAAGAAAGGAATCTGAGGATTGGCCAAATACGCCCACTAGTAGCAACCCACTATTTCCTCAAGACTTCAAGCTAGTTCCACAGTCATCTAAGAAGCTAGATGCATTTATTCTCTTACAATTTTAAAAGGCAAGGTTGTTCAATAAAGCTGCCCCATGAATTACTGCTTGTTATATTAGTACAACAAAGTGGTTTTATTTTTTCTGAATACCAATTAGGTCACAGGTTGAGTCTAGTCCAATCACCTCATATTAGATGGAAAGGATGCCTGGACAAGTGAAATAGCTAAACTCCTGATCCCTAATCTAACACTTCCTTCATTATGCAATGAATATAGTATTAACTTGAATATAAGAATAACTTTTAATAACATAAAACAGGTACTTAAAATAGGCCAACAAACAAAAAACAGTAATATTAGACTACATTACCATTACCTCATATAAGATTTGTCCTGATGCCAAACACTTTCTATCACCAAAGGCCAGCTGAAGTAAATGCAAACTCAAAACATCCCCTTCACTGAAAGAAATAGAAATTAGCTGAAGAAAACCACTAAATTTCATATTAATACATTAAGTGTCTCATACCATACAAATCAATTTAGCGTGCATACAATATACAGAGCATGTAACAAAACTAAGGTCACTGAAGAATTTATTTGGTTGTTTTCACAAAATGCAGCTCTTTGAAATAACTGATTTTTTCCTTTTTATTGACTGCAACTTAAAATGATAGTTTGAATACTTTAGGTGATATGCAGAAACTACTAATTATTTAGCCAATATTCTTCCTTCTTCAATAGGTACTTTTGCCTAAAATACACCACATTTCCTTTGCAGTTATCTCTAGTAATAGGAAGGCTGCAAGGCTGTTTCCAGGTCTCTTCTCTACTAGTCTCAGTCACTTTTGAAGCCACTGAGTCTCAACTTTGGTTGCTTATTATTAGAACCACCAGAGGAGTTTCGAAAAAATACTAGTATGTAGGCCTTAAGCCCAGAAATTAATTTATCTGGGGCAGCCAGGTCAAATTCAAACACTTTTTATCCTGGCCTACACCTCCCTTTATAAACCAGATCTACTTTTCAGGCCTCAACTATGATTAATCTGTACCCTAAACATAATGCCCTTCTTGCTTTTCCTTGAGACATTTTACTAAGGCCTTTGCATTCTTTGCTCAGATATTCCCATAACTCTCTCCCCATACCTGCCCTTATTTTATTCAAACCTAAACTAAAGTAACAATTTCCTACACACCCCACTCTGAAATTTTATTAAATACATATAATAGTATATTTATTATTCATCTTCCTTACTGAAATATAAAAGCTATATGGATTGTTATATGTATTGCTACATGTCTAGAATGGCTACAGTCACAGAGCAAATGCTCAGTAATTTTTCAAATGAATAAATACATGGATATGCGGCAGAAACAATTTCTAAAAGAGGGCCTCCCCGGTGGCGCAGCTGTTGAGCGCTGGGTTGCGAAGCTGCCCGTGGCCTCTGCGGCGCCGGTTCGATCCCATTGATCCCCGGCTGCTCCCCGGCCACCGGAGGAGGGTCCCGCGCAGACCTCTCCTGCCACCCGCTGCTCCCCTCAGCAGTGTACTTCGGTCCTTCTGCCTGCTCTGCTCCCCGCTCTGGCTCTGGTGAATTCTCTCACCCTCCCGCGCTTCTGACTGTACCCAGTGCATGTATAAACAAAACAAACAAACAAATAAAATAAATAAATAAATAAAACATGCCTCTATTAAAAAAAAAAAAAAAAAACAATTTCTAAAAGACTAGTAAACAGGATAAACCACACACAACCAACATTTATTTTCCACATTACAAAACTAAATGTAGCTTTTATTATAATAAATAAGCACTGTGGCACGAAGATGTATGCCTCTGTAATTTCTAGTGGTATACTCTACCTGTTTCATTTTTTTTTTCTTTTCTTTTATTCAAATGATTGCTTTAATGAAGGCACAGATATCACACCTGTCTTTCTGATTTAGATTTATAATTTAAATTTTTATTTTAATCTGCTATTAATACCAATAAAGTGTTGTGGGAGATTCAATGAACAAGAAATAGGAGACTTTATTACACATCTTCATAAATCATTAATCTAAGAATGATTTAAAACAGAAGTCTATGAGCTCCCATAAATTATACAGACTTATTTACATTTGTTTACACACTCCCCCACTACATGCATAGCTAATATGTACATAGTTTCTTTATGTACATAAGTAGTTTGTGTATATGTATATAGTGTATATATGTAGTTTATACATGTATATATTATCAATACTCGTTCTATACTCGTATACAATTTACAGAACTCACAGAAGGTGTCAACACATTGTTCAACCCAATGCTTTAAACCATTATATAAATACATATACACATACATACTACATACCAATATATATCATAGCCTTCATCAGACTTTCAACAAGGTGCATGACCTACTAATTTTAAGAATCCAAATCAAAGTAACAGTTTTCAAAAATACTTTCCATTAGTAATTCTGACAAATGCAAAGTAAATCATCTAGGAAAAAATGATCCAAATTATAAATTAAAATAAACCTGTCCTATTGAAAGAACAGCTAACTAGGAAAACAGTCTAAAATTCACTAGATAATTTGTTCCCCTATTTCAATTAATGTGTTCTGAATAATAAAGAAAATATGGGGCATCACCATAGGAAAAATAAAGGAAACCACTAACCTGTCCATATTTTAAATTATCATTCGTGTTTCACACGTACATACAGCACTGCAAATTACCTCAAAAAAGGACTACGAGAAGTGTATGGTTCACGTATTTTTTAGTAAAAGTCAGTAGCAGAAGAAGTTAGAATAGCTTCAAGATTATTAAGGACAAAGTAGGGATCAATAACAGGACTAAAAAGACTAAACCTGTACACAATTCATAAAATCAAGAGTAACATGGCAAAAATGAACTATAGTAGGATAAGTTAGACTCTAAAGAGTTCCCATAAACCCCTTAAAAAGCAAAATTAGCAAACATAAGGCATTTTCCTCAAACTTGTGCTTCTGGCCCACATTACACTCAGATGGATAGAAATATGGACTTGACTCAGTGAGGGGTATACCAAGAGCTGTCTCTATAAATTTTTATTTCAATTTTTCTCTAGAATCGACAAATTTCAAAAGTGACAAAGCAATTCTTCATTTATTGATTCATTCACTATATGGCAAACTAAGACAAAATCTCAAAGTCAGGACATCTAACACAAAGATCAAAACTTAATATAATTTAGGTCCCTAGAATCTAAAGTAGGATAGACTTGGGAAGAGACAATAATGGAAACAGTGAGTTATTAAGAGCACAACACTTATAACCAAATTTAACCATTTCCTTGATCATCACAGAAAGAACTAAACACCACTGAAAAATAAAGAGAAAAATCACGCAATTATGCTGCCTTCACCAGAGAACTGTTCTGTTGTACAGCACAAAGCTTTCCAAGAGAAATTAACTATTGTTCCACGTTTGACGAATATCTTTAAAACCATAGTATCATGCTTACCTATCTTGTGTAGACTGAACAGCCCATAAGTAACAGCAATTACGAGGATCATTCTCAGGTTCTTGAAAAGTAACAGCATATATAGGAACTCTTCCACCTTCCAACTGTGTAAAGTATCTATAATGGGCAAAAAATTAGTATACCTCACATTAACTTAAAATTTTATGAAAAAGGAAGAAGGTGGCTCATGTAAGAATTTGGTTTAGGGCAACTATTGTTCATCTGACTAAAATTCAGTGATTGGGGGAACATGGTCAAGATATTATCTTTAAAAATACAGAGGGTGTAAGACATCAAGATTACAGGTACGGCATCCACCCCAGGTAAAACTGGGGAGGGTTAAAATTAACAAAGCACATGCAGATATGTTTGGGTAAACCAGACATTCTAGTTACATAAACGTATTCAACTATGTGCTGCTTGCCAGTAAGAGGAGCCCTAGAGATAGAATACTCCATTTCAGTTGAGTTTAGTTAGTTTCCCAACTCTAGTAGGATAAGTTAGACTCGAAAGAGTTCCCATAAACCCCTTAAAAAGCAAAATTAGCGAAGAAATGATCATGGTAGAGAAAACACTGATGAGGCCAGCTTCTCCAGACACTCCTGTAGAAGCAATTCAAAGAAAAAGAGCTGATAAAAGAGTATCAGCAAAGACAGCAGACACGAACTTCCCATAAGGAGGCACTGGGCACTAGCAGAGCCACCTTTATCACTGGTGCTCTGCAGAAAAATATGAGGAAGCACAAGTATAGTCAATGTTTACTTGCATCAGCAATAATTCTATTTTAATATTATCAAGGAATGCAATAGTAAAAATGGGCTTAGTTTGAGTTGAGGGAATCTTGTTATTTTCAATTTCTCTGTTTTCCTTCACTTATAATTTAGCAAATAATTATTATGAAATTCAGTCAAATAGGTACCAATTTGTTGGCAAGACTAATTAAGTAAGCAGAAACTTCAGAACGTTCACTATTTTATTGACTCATTTAAAATATAAATTAAAAATCTGTAATGCCTATATGCTATTTCCCTCAATAAAGGGCTATCTCCTCCATTAAGGGGTTAATTGCTCTGCAATTTAAAAAACATAAATAGTAATAAAAAGTACCAATACAGTTATATACGAAGGAAGTTTTGGCTCTATAAAGAAATAAAACACAGCACTTTTAATTACTTTAATTTTAAGGTTTTTTTCTTTCATCTGAGAACATTACTAAACCACTTGATACACGTGGTTATGAAGAAGTATTTCTGAAAAGAATTTATAATATACAAACATGTAGGTTATAACCATGCTTTACTAGCAAACTAGAACACAATTAACTAAAATGTCTTAAAACATCGAATCAACCTAAATTCTTGTCCTAAACTACTCATACTCCATCATGAATCTATTCTACCTATAACTATCTATGCTAATTTATAAATACTGAGTACATTATAGTCATAAAGGAACCATAATCAAAAGTTATACTTACTCTCTCTTCATGCTTTTCATATTCCACAGTGCTAGATAGCCATCAGAAAAACCTACAGCAAGCTGGTTTGTCCTATTTATATAACTAAGAGTTGAAACAGCTACTCCTGATGGGCTTACTAATTGGAAACACAGATGGCGTCCTTCTCGCATCACATTTTCTCTGATGTGTGGTATTTCAGCTGGGATGCCAGTTATAACTTCAAGATCTTAAAAATGAGACAAGATTAACAAACTGTAAATAGCATAAAAGCTAATGTCACCTATTAAACAGGTAACAGGTGAAGATTACTAGTCATTTAAATGATTAGTAATTAAAAAAATGTTTATAAAATAGCCACTAATATCTACTTAAATAATATAATTTTCAAAATACATTTCAGGGTGTAATTCCTTTAAAATCTCACAGAAACTATCAAATATTTCCTCTAACAATCATAAAGTTAATGTTTTCTTTATTTAAATTAAAAGCTAATTTAAATAATTATTTGAATAATTTAAATAATTTTAATTTAAATAATTTAAATAAATAAATTGACAAAATTTAACTACTTGTTATTCTCTGTAGAAATAATCAGAAGCAGAATGGACTATGAGGGCAAAGGCTCAAGTACAGTGTGATGGGATTTCCCATCTTCATAACAATTTGAAGAAATTTGCCCATAATAAATAAAGTCTGAATTTTTTTCTTAACCTGAAGATTTCAGATAGCATCAACTGTATAGAAGAATACAGGAATTCCCATCACTTCAAGTTAATTTTCAGAATTTACCATATGTGTAAGCCTAAAATAGTTATAATCAGAATTAATTTTGTACACAAAAAAGATTCTGCTTTAAACCCCCAAATTCAATTTTTTTGTACTATAAAATCCAAATAAATCTCATAATTGATAAATGGTTCTATTCTCTGACCCCAAACCCAGAGTTTCATTACAAAATTATTCTTGCATTGAATTCAGTTACTGATTGTTGACTTTTGAAAAAAGGATGGTTTGATCTGAAGAATTTTGTGCTTTAAGAAAAGCATTTTAATCAGCCTTATATCTATACCGCTATCTACAAAATAAACTCGAGGAAAAAATCCCATCAGGACTAATTCCTTTGTCAGTTTTCTATAGACCATAAAACCATTTTCAGTATTCTATAAGTTCATCATTAGTTGGTTTTACTGGTCAATTCTTTTCATTTAAACGTTCTAGTATTTATTAATCAGTATTTACTAATATCAAATTTTAAGGTATAGTTTTTGTCACTATATTCCTAAATGCATATGTGACCATCATTTCTGTCTGAAGTATTTTCAGGTCATAGGCTGCATGTTTAAATTTTGTTCACATGGTTTGGTTCTCCATTTTCTTGTTAAATATAATTTTTACCACTTAAGAGTTTAACTACACATTGACAATTTTTATTAGTTATACTAATTACAAATTGGGGTTAAACTGATTGTTTTAATTACTTTTTAGTTGATACATAAATGAACAGATCCACACTAATACACCAGGATCTGAGGTCAAACGGTCCTTTCTCAAAACTTAATACGTGATAAATTTTTGAAAGTTTAGATCCTCCACCTTATTAAAACAAAAAAAAAAAAATCAACCAAATAAAGAGTCCCATAATTAAAAAACCTGAAAGTATTTATTAAAGAGAATATTAATAAATGTAAGCATTAGTATTAAGGGGGAAACTGTCTCTTTTGGATTTTAAGTATCATTAGTTCTATTTTAGGATGCTATTTTATGAGGTAAGACTTATAATTACTTAGTCATTTCCTATTAATTTATTTTTCTATCTTAATCTTACACCACAGGAACACAAACAGTAAGCCAACTATATACTATGTAAGATCTTACATGATTAGATAACTTTATACTGTCTGATATGGATCAAGATTTTATACCATTAGTTTTTCTTCTGGCATGTAATAATAAGTATTATTTAAACATATTCAAGTATAATATATACATATATTATTCAAGTATACACACACACACACACACACATACAGCAGGAGGAAGAAAAATCAATATCTCTACCCCTTTAAAGAGGTACCTAGTATATGAATACTTCCTCAATAAAATAGAGTAACTCATCCCAAAAGTATCCAGTGCCCAAAACAACAAAAGGAACAGTAGGTCGAAACAATGAAAAAAAACACAGATAGCTAGGTTCCTATGTAAAAAACTGTTATTTTTAAAAAATCCACTGCATCAGTTTTGGTTTCAAGCAAAGATGACAACTTACCTGATGCCTCTACTTCATTCTGACTGCATGACAAATCATCCAAACACAGGTCAATAAGAAGGATCTGTCCAACATCAGTTACCACAGCTGCCACACCAAAAAGCCAACGCAGACTTGGGTGTAAATGCTGTGTGCTTGCACTGGCTCCTCCATGATTAATTATAGGTTCAATAGCTGTTACCTAGAAAGCAGAGTAAATGATATGCTTTTCTTCTACAAAATAACTAAAAACACAACAGATTTAAGTTAAACAGTTATTATAATAGACAAACAGTTTCTAGTACAAAATCATAAACCCTTATTTGATATTTATGTAACAACTGAAATCTTTAGGTACAAAAGAGATTATGTCATTATTTCAATGTTAAAAAAACTGTGCAGATGGAATAACAATCAATGATTATTATTTACTATATGTGAAGCACTATGCTAATGGTGTCATTTGATGTTCACAAAACTCTACATTTTTACAAAAAATGTTCACAAAAAAAATCTACTTTTTCCTCACTTTAAATCTCTAAACCAGTTACTCTATGATTAAATAGATTCTTCTCTTAAGAGTGAAAATGAATCATTCCAAGAAAACTTACTGCCTACAAATTTTTTTCCCCAAAAGATTTATTTATTTATTTATACACGCACTGGGGACAGTCAGAAGCGCAGGAGGGTGAGAGAATTCACCAGAGCCAGAGCGGGGAACAGAACAGGCAGACTGACGAAATACACTGCTGAGGGGAGCAGCGGGCGCGACAGGAGGAGAGGTCTGCCAGGAGGAGAGGTCTGCGCTCCAGGTCGGACCCTCACTGGCAGCCTGGGCTGCAGAGACTGCAGGCAGCTTCGCAGCCCGCCACCAGGGGGGGCCCTACCTACACATTTTTGCAAACTTCTGAAGAGGTCTAACCTTAAAGGGACTGTACTATATAATAGCACCTTCGCAAAAAATCTTGGCATTGACCGTATTACTGACATTTAAACAAGGACAGAAATCAGGTGGAGAAAATCATACTGTAGCTACTTTATGGACCTTACAGGTCAAGTTTTAAATGTCTGTACCTAATAATCCATGTTTTATACTAACATTCCTTCTATTTCCTATTAATTCACAAAAGCGAGTTAAGGTATGATGATAATTAAACATCTGGCAATTTCTACTATAAGAATAATCAATGTCCCAGGAAAAAAAATGAAATTTGTTATTAATGGTTTATGTGTTAAAATGAAAATGTGTTTCAGACAAAAGCCTGGCTCGTTCTATATTTAAGTATAACACAAAACATTCCATAGTGGTTTTAATTCCTAAAGCTGTAATTTCATGAATTGTCTTCCTTTTCAAATTATGGTAATAATATCTATAAATACTAAAGCACATTTTCCTTAATTTCCTCAATGAGAGTAAGAAATGTCTCACTTTACATTCTACATACAAAATAATGAAATAATTGATAACCCTACCTTAATTAATTTTAGAAAAAGGTGGCTAAAAGTAAACATACGGGCCTCCCTGGTGGTGCAAGGGATTAAGATGCAGCACTCTGAAGCAAGATGCAGCACTCTAAAGCAATCCACAGCCACTGCAGCAAGAGTTCGATCCCCTGCTGATCCCCGGCCAGGGAGATAACCCGCATGGCGCAGCAGACCTATCCTGACTTGCCCGCTGCTCTCCTCAGCAGTGTATTTCAGTCAATACGCCTGTTCTGTTTCTCACTCTGTCTCTGGTGAGCCCTCTCACCCCCCACACTTCTGGCTTGTACCCCAGTTCTTGTATGCATAAATAAATTTAAAAAAAAAAGGGTAAACATAGTCAGAAAACAGTTAAGTTGGCTGAACTTCTTTGGAAGGTATTTATCACTATCCTCCCAATATTTTCCTTCTCCTATAGACCTTCTATGTGAAACCAACTGTCTACCCAAATGAGCAATCAGACCTTTTAACGCTTGCTCCTTTCTCAATTATCATCCAAATAATCTACAATTTCTGTTTATGTTACCTTTCAAACCTGACCTATTCTCTCCACTTCAGTTCACCACCATAATTTACTTGAACTACATCTCAATCCAAAAAGCTTTTTACACTAAAGTTCTGCTTTAAACTTAAAATGACTTCACCCCAGACATTAGGAGACCCCTAATTGTAAACAGGCCATTTTACAATCTCAATCTTCACCTTATTTCTTCCTGCTGTCCCTCTCCCCAAGTCAATTTGAAAAAGTTAAGCTTCCCAAATGTCCCATATACCGCGAACTTTTTACATGCTGGTCTCTACATGAAAAATGTCCCTCCTTTTTGAGTAGAAATTATCCAGGTGATCTCCGTGTTCCAAGTACTTAAAATTATCAAAATACTTCAACTTGTGCTATAATCTTACTGTCTTTTCCTACTAGATGACAAACTTTCTCAAAGTATGAACCAAGTTCAATTCATCTACTTACCCCTTAGAATCTAGCTTTATTTATAATAAGTACTCAATAAACCACTAATTTTATTATTTTAAAGGCAGAAGTAATAGTCTGACCTTTAAAATCACCACTAACAGTACATACAGTAATTAAATAGCCAGTACATACAGTAATTAATAGCCAGTGGATGCCTGGAACCTCAGAAACCTACATACATATTTATGATAGCTTAATTTATAAATCAGGTATAGTGAAAGATTAGCAATAACTAATAAAACTATAATATAATAAGAGCTCTGTAAGATTTCTCTCTCAATATATTTTAGTATATGCAAACATTTTCAGACCACAGGTAACTGAAATCATGAAATGCAAAACTGCAGATGGGGAGTGGGAGGCATACTGTATCAGATACTTGGCTATAAACTACTTCAGACCCCTACTTTATCTCATTTGATCAATTTCCCCAAATATAAAAGCATATTATTTGTCATTAAGTTCCATTTTAACTTTAAAAATACAATTCTAATCATTATATAGTAAAACCATTAAATACACATAAAGTACATTTTTGGGAAACATCAGGTATAGAAAGAATTCTACTCTTATTATTTTGTATTTGTGTATCTTTGTAAATGTATAAATTTTTCTCATCATATATGGAAGAATAGCTATAAACCTGCTAAATAAACAACCAGAAGTTAATAATTACCACTGGATAAGATGTCTGGCACATAGAAGGCATACATATATTAATAAATGATTCCATTATTTAAATACAATATTCAAATCTGAAGCAATAATGAAGACATGCTATCCATATAGCTCTACTGCTATACTCTCAAAGGAGAAAAACAGAGAAATGAGAAAAACAATGACATCATTAAAAACTATTTCAATAAACTTTCAGAGTCATTAGATACATTAGATAACACAACTGGATATAAGAACAAGATTCAGCTGATACTTTATAGAAAAGAATATTAGAACACTACATGTCATTTTTACACTGCAATTTTCTAACCAAGAATAAAGTTAAATTTTCAATTTTTTCCCCTTTTAAAGTTCATTTGATAATGTCTTTAACCTCTCTTTCACTTTAAAGTTTTTACTGAAGTATAACACCGCTCCACATAAGTAAACTAATAATACATTTATGTCTCAATGGATTTTCATAAAGTGAATGCACCATGTAAGCAGTAAGGGTTCAGTTTTGAAAGCAGAATGTCCACAAATCTTGAACAGTACCTACCCTTCCAGGAAGAACAACTGCTTTGACCACTCTTGATATACCAAGGTCATAAAGACAGAGAACACTCCCTTCAGCTTCTTCCAATCCAATTAGCAAACCAGTCCTCTTCTGCCAAGAGAATTCTTTCACAGCAAGGACTACAGGAGGCTGTTCATTCACTCCACTGAATCTATATGCAGACAACCGCTCTCCTGTTACAGAATTTACTACCTCGAGTTGTGGACCACAAGCCAAACAAGCAAGCCCATTTTTCCCTAGAAGAAAAAAAAGCTATAATGTTACCCATTCTAATACTGCATTACACAACAAAACTAGAGAGTAGTTAGCTCTTTTACATGTATGATATAAAGTTCATTAAACTTTACACATCCCATATTGAAATCTAAGTATTCACAGAATAGAATGGTGTCAAATTAACAGAATAAATTGAGCAAGACTACTGGAATAATAATAAAATAACCAGTAAAGGCATTATCCTACACACATTATCTCATTTGTTCCCTGGCACACCTCAAAATAGAGATAAAGCAACTAAACCTTTATATAGTTAACTTGCCTAAAACCATACAACTATAAATACCAGAGCAGAGTGAATCCCCAAGTGTGCTGAGCTCCAAAACTCTTATTTTTATTTCATTATATATTAACAGGTAAGCTACATGCCACGGGAGTTGTATATATACCCTGTATGATTCTATCCCTAAAGAGTTCAAAATATGAGAAAACAAGACATAACTGGCCTAGCAACAGGAATCTAAGAATGTCATTTTAGTTTCTTACTAGTCATATTTAGATTTCACTCTGTACCCAATATAAAGTAAATGGAAGGTTTTATTTCTTTTTTTAATTTTTCTAAAATAAATTTTATCTTTATATTCCCCATAGAATTGCAACCCCCTTATTTTGACCCCAATCCCTCCCCTCCCCGCCCCCACCTCCCATAGAGTGTCTCTGGTTCATAGTTTTTTGTTGATTTTGATTTTCACTTTCTTATAGTTATTCATTTCCCTGGTCTATTATTTAGGTTTTCTAGATTCCTGCTATGAGTGAGACCATCCGGTATTTTTCTTTTTCTTTCTGGCTTATTTCGCTGAGCATGATCCCTTCCAGCTCCATCCATATTGCTGCAAATTGCATGTGTTTATCTTTTTTGAATGCTGAGTAATATTCCATGGTGTATATGTACCACATCTTCTTGATCCAGTCATCTATTTTTGGGCATTTGGGTTGTTTCCAAAGCTTAGCTATTATAAACAGTGCTGCTATAAACATAGGGGTGCAGGTGCTCTTTGGAATTGATGTTTTTGTGTCCTTTGGGTAAATACCTAGGAGTGGAATTGCTGGATCATATGGAAGCTCTATGTTTAGTAGGTCCAGAAATCTCCGCACAGCTCTCCATAGTGGTTGGACCAGTTTGCAATCCCACCAACAGTGCAGGAGAGTTCCTTTTCTCCACATCCTCGCCAACATTTGTTGTTGCTAGTTTTTTTAATATGTGCCATTCTCACTGGTGTAAGATGCTATCTCATGGTAGTTTTGATTTGCATTTCCCTGATTACAAGTGATGTTGAACATTTTTTCATATGCCTGTTGGCCAGTAAATGGAAGGTTTTAAACTGGAGAGTGACAGCCTGATTTAATGTTACTCCAGCAGCTAAACAGAGAATAGCCAGTAAGGGGAACAGAGTGTAAGTAAGGTGATAATACCCTATACTTGGTCAGTGGCCATAAATAGAGAATAGTGGATTGACTGGAGATTAATCGTAGAGGTAGAACTATACGGATTTGCTTGCTCTTGTATAAGATATGGGAAAATCAGTAAGAATCAAGACCAGATTGCGAATTTTTGCTTGAGCAACTCCGTGGATTTTAGTAACTTTTACGCCTAAATTTGTGATATCTATCATGCATCCAAGCAGACAGATATACTAAACTGAGGGATTTCCAATATCATTTAAGTAAGTAACATGGCATAGTGAGGACCCAGACATACAGGCTCAAAACTCATTTGCTCTTGTTTTACCACTTGCTATCTCTGTAACTGGGATCAAGCTATTTAACCTAATTGATTCTCAGCTACCTGTAACAGAAGTCTAACACCTCAGTTAAAAGTTGTTACAGTACATGTAATAAAGTACCAATGCTACTTTTTATAACAAGAGAATAGCAATCAAAATACCTAATATATACGCTTTGCTGTATATATTTATACAGTATAGCTGTTAAAATTCATTTTCAGACGTCATCTGTAATATCTTATAATTTAATGTCTTCTTTGTGTATGATTTTCTACTGTATTACATAATTGAATCCATGTTAAATTCTTGTGTTATGGAATTAACAAATGAGACTTCCCACATCACCTAGGCCCGAACATCAGACTTCCCAAATTACACAGGGCCCAAACATCAAATTTTTCCATTTTTAAGACTGTTTTGGGCCTCCCTTGGTGACGCAGCGGTTGAGCGCTGGGCTGTGAAGCTGCCCACAGCCTCTGCAGCACCAGTTCATTCTCCGGCCGCCTGCGAGGGTCCCACACGGCACGACAGACCTCTCCTGCCGTGCCCGCTGCTCCCCTCAGCAGTGTGTTTCGTCAGTCTGCCTGTTCTGTTCCCCACTCTGGCTCTGATGAATTCTCTCACCCTCCTGCGCTTCTGACTGTACCCAGTGCTTGTATAAATAAATAAATAAATCTTTAAAAAAAAGAAAAAAAAGACTGTTTAGATTCTAATCCAATCTCATCACTGGTAAAACTGATTATAAAGGAAAATCAGGTGTATATTATTCCTACATTCCAAATGCAGGTACTCAATAAAGTTTTTAAATTTATAGTATTTTAATAAAGAAAAATGAACTATAACCCCCCACTCAGAGATCTACTGAAAATATATTCTAGCATAAATAGATGTTGTTACATTGTGTTTAACATGTATCTATTTAAGATCCCTCTAACCAGGTTCTGCTTTAAGTCCCTTCCACAATTAAAGAAACTGCAACACGTTTATTATTACTTTACAAGTCAATGGAATTGGTAAATTTTTAGCATCATTATTTTACCTGCAGCAAACTTTCCACGAAGCACAGATTCTAAGGTTATTTCGTCTTCTCCGAGTGCCTGAATAGTCACTTCTGGAAATTGCAGAAGACCACTAGTGACCTGTGCTGTTAAGTCTCGCATACTTCCACTGTAAATATTTTTAAAAGAGAACATTGTTATGACATATTTGTACGATACACTTGGTCATTTCCAGTCAGAAGGAAAAAAAAACAAACAAACAAGAAAAAGACACCACAAACAAAAACATAAACTATGTATTTTACAATGAGATTTGATTTTATTTACTGGGTCTGCGGTATTCTAAGAAAATACTTACCAAACAGTCTTAGGAGAGTAAAAACAATTAAGCCAGATGTCCTAAAGATATACATGATTCTCTAGATTCTTTGAAAACTGGTTCAATGCAATTAATCTTATTGCCTGACCGACCCTAGAACAGTTCACAAACAGGTTAAATTAATACATTTTAGAAAAATAACTATTATAGTAAAAGGGCAGAGAATCCAAGAAAAAAATGTCCCAACCCAAGTGACTTCAGGAATTGTGTATGGCACATGTCTTTAGACAGAAAAAAAATAATAAATTATCTTTTGTTTATAATATATAAATGACAAGATCCCCTGAATGACAACCAAAACTGCTAGTTAAAATATGAAAGTATCTTTTTGAAAGAATCCTGAATTGGAAAGCCAAGAGTAAAAACATTAGGAATTCTGGAAGACATGTAAGCTGGCTTAGCCTCAATGGTTAGCAACCAAATGCTGTCACAATGACCCTAACTTTGTTTTGAGCACTCTGAGGTACAGAGGCAGATGATAAAACTCAGGTCTATAGGGCTAACACAGTTAATAACGCAAGCTAAGAAGAGTCTTCCTCCTCCCCACCCTCAAATTCCATTAAATTGCACAAGGATGTATCATCAGCATAAAGGTCAAACACCCATTGGGTAAGACAGGGAGCAATAATCCTGTCCATTTTAACTATGACTCCAAGTCTCTATTCAAAAAAAGAAAAATACTCTTCAAATTAGTAACCAGAAAACAATCTGTTATCTGAAACTTCTCAAGTAAAGAACTTATCGTTAACAGTAAGAAGTGACAATATTCTAAAGTATATGTTCCAGAGTTGTGGAGACACAGCAATTCCCCGAAATCAGAAAAATCAAAGAAACTTAAATAAAAACAAAAGATGTAAGACAAAAACTGAGCCATCCCCACCAAGGGAATTTAAAGGATTAATGGCAGAAGAAGCCTTCAGACAGAAAAGGATTAGACAGAAAATCTGAGATACAAAAAGTATGATATGCCAAAATACTGAGAAATACATGGAAAAATCTAAAATACTAACTACATAACAGTAACAACCACAGTGGTTACTGTATGGGATTTAAACAAAAAAAAAAAATCTGTTGTCCTCCTATGGTCTGAGAATAGAGACATTAGTTTGTTCTAGACTTTGTTACACATCCATATTAAAAATATATATAGGAAGAGACCAACAAGAGGATAGTTTCAGTAGTGTAATAGCAAGCTACTAAAAATAACCAAACAAGAGAAAGTAAAGATAATACCAGATAGTAAAAACATACCATGTTATAATAATTAAAAGCATATGATACAGGCTACTAATGGACAAACAGAACAAAACAATTTAGACACCAAACCACAAAACTTTAGTACACGATAAAAAGCAGATTTGGTTATTTCAAATCAGACAGTACGTGTGGAATACTCAATTAAAGTTACTGGTACACCTTGCTACTCATTTCCAGCAAAAAAGTTAGTTATCCACTGGTGGAGTGAAGAAGTTACAGCTTTTCCCTATTAAACTTAAAGCCTCCAGTATGCCAGGTGTTAGCTTTTCCCAAAGTGGAGTGTTCAAGGACAATAAGCAAGAAAGCTCCGTATCACTGCAATTCAATCAAGATCATGCTAAAGGAATTTTTAAAAAGACTTTCACAAGGGCCTCCCCGGTGGCGCAGGGGTTGAGCGCTGGGTTGCGAAGCTGCCCGCAGCCTCTGCAGCGCCGGTTCGATCCCCAGCCGCTCCCCAGCCACCGGAGGAGGGTCCCACATGGCGCGCAGACCTCCCCTGCCGCCCGCTGCTCCCCTCAGCAGTGTACTTCGGTCCTTCTGCCTGCTCTGCTCCCCGCTCTGGCGAATTCTCTCACCCTCCCGCGCGTCTGACTGTACCCAGCGCTTGTATAAATAAATAAATAAAAATAAAATAAATCTTAAAAAAAAAAGACTTTCACAAGATGATTCTGAAGCTCATCAGAGGGAGTCAGTTCTTCCACAGGACAAAAAAGGCATCTCTGCTTATGTCGGGACAATTTTGTGTCCCTTCGTTTATAAGAACCCATGAATACAATGCAGCAGTGCAGGAGCACGGCTGGTGCTATGGAGGCCCCTATGTGGGTGAAGCACTGCATGGAGCTGAGTCTGGCAGGTGTCCACAGCCAGGACTGCACAAGAAAAAGCACAAAAGCAAAAAAAGAAACACAAGAGTGGCCTCCCTGGTGGCGCTGGTTAAGACGCAGCATTATGAAGCTATCTGCAACCACTGCAGGATGAGTTCCATCCCTGACCAGGGAGGTGATCAACCGACCAGGGAGGTGACTCACATGGCGCAGCAGACCTCTCTTGCCTCACCCGCTGCTCTCCAAAGCAGTGTATTTCAGTACATCTGCCTGTTCTGCTCCCCACTCTGTCTCTGGTGAATCCTCTCACCCACCCCATCTCTGACCTGTACCCCAGCTCTTGTATGCATAAATAAATCTTTTTTTAAAAAAAGAAAGAAACACAAGAAGAAACCATCATCAGGAAAAGTAGGCTGCAGCTCAAACTCAAAACCAAGTGGGGTGGGCAGGTCCTAGGCACCAAGAGTGATTGCTGAGAGGCCTCGCTCATCCTCTCTCCTGATGGTTGTAGGCAATGAAGAGGAACTTCTGGAAGGAGTCCCCCTTGAACAGTATGCCTCTCTGGCTGAAGACAGTAATCGAACTACTCCTGTCAGGAGGCTTAAGAGGAGGAATAGAGGTGGCTGGATGCCAGAAGGGGGAGCTGGATGACAAAGGACATTTCGTGAAGTAAATTAATTAACTGCTACTCACTGCTCTACAACTGCTCTGGAGCCTGCTCCAGAAGGCTCAGAGTGAGCCTTCAGTCTTCCATGGGCTGCACCGCCCCTGCTCTCACTGAGGAGATGCTGCTACTGAGGCGGGAGGAACCAGTGCATAAGTGACGGTGCAGGCAGCGTGGGGGACAAAGGAGCACAAGAACCAGGTTATCCAGTGCCTACGGAGACTTTGCAGGGCCCAGGGGGCCTTGAGGAGTGAGCAAGTGGAGGGCGAATCTCAGCCCCAGCCTCCCAGTGAGCTACAGCAAGAGGAGCAGTTTCCCCTTTCCTTCCACCCCTGCCCCAGCGCCAGTGTTATAAGCCCAGACCATCCCCATGAGGCTCTCCTCCATGGTGCCCCCTGTCTCTGGCTGTTCACACAGGCCAGGCACTCTGCAGCCTCCAGTGCTACCGCATCAATCTGCAGAAGTGGCAGGTGTGTTTGTGATGCACAGGCCAGGAAGCCCAGAACCCTCCTCCCTTTGGCTGTGCAAGTCCTTACCTAACAGGGCTCGCTCCCCTTCCCTGCTTCAGTGTCTTCCCCACCCTATTAAATTTCAGATGGTGGGGGGTAAAATGTCCAGTGGAGAGAATACACAATAATCACTATCTTTAAATAAACTCTAATGTTCCATTTCTTAGACTGAATGTGTTTCCTGCTGTTATGTTGTTTTTAATATAAAAAGAAAGTGTATAATATGGAAGTAATGGCTCAAGCAGTTGCAATATTTAAAAATAAAAGTGTGGTTTACATTGCAGATATACCTTCCCACCTGTAAAAAATGAGGACAATATATGAAACAAGGTGTTCAGACAATGGGCAGTGGTCCCTAAGAGAAAGACAACAAACAAGATGAGCTAGAGGACTGTCCCAGCTTTCTGTATATGTGTCCAGGACAGAGAACAGGAAGAGGGAGCACAGTAACCAAGTCTTCTTGAAGAGATAGGGCAAAAAATGCCCAAAAGTCAAAGTAGTAAGAATTCACAGGCTAGAGTACTGTACTACAAGATCTGATGTAGTACTGTACCAAGAGATCTGAAGTAGTCTCTCCTGGATCTTCATATAATTGATAAAAGCTTGTAAGCAAACTACCAAGGTACAAATCATTGGAAAAGTAAAGGACAAACTATCCAGAGCTTACAGCCAGGAATAGCTCCAGAGTGGAAAAATCTCACAGTACATGGGGGCACTTAGTACTTAGGTACAGATTACCTCAGTAGTGGGAAGAAAAATTAACCCTTAAACAAGGATTGGGCTTGCCCAAAACAAATTCAAAAGGACCAAACTGTTTTCAAGTAACAGCTACATCCCAAAAGAAAGTTCAAGCATGTGTAGGGAATGCAAAAGCAGGCATGCAAAGGAGGAAAATAAGAAAAATATTAAATAACCAATAAAACCTAGAAATGACACAAAAGTTAGAACTACTAGATGGGGATGTTAAACATAAATCAGTTATTCAAGCTATAATTCCTAAATCCAAGACAAAAGAGGAAAGCATCAGCATATTGAACATTTAGAAGATATGAAAAAGACTAAATCAAACTTGTAGAGATGAGAAATACATTGGATGGGACTGACAGATAAGATGACGAATGAGAGAATTCAAGACAACCACAAGAGAAGCTGTCTAAAATAAAGCAGAGAAAAATGGATGGGTGGGGGCGAACAGAACGCATCACTGGATTATGGCACAACTTCAAGTGTTCTGATATGGTAACATTAGTCTTCAAAATAAGACAAAAATATTTGAAAAACCAGTAGTCAAAATTTTTCCAAATTTGATAAAAACCACAAACCCACAAATAGAAAAAAGGCCAATAAATCTCAGCACAGAAAAAAACATAAATTAAGCTAAAAGAAATCGAGACAAAATGAAAAAAATTTTTTTAAGATTTATTTATTTATACATACAAGAATTAGGGTACAGATCAGAGTTGTGGGGGGTGAGAGAGCTCACCAGAGACAGAGTGGGTACCAAAACAGGCCAAGTAACCGAAATACACTGGAGCAGTGGGCGAGCCGGGAGAGGTCTGCTGTGCCATGTGGGTCACCTCCCTGGCCGGGGGATTGAACTCATGCCACGGCAGCCATGGATTACTTCATAGGTTGTGCCTCAACCTCTCGCGCCATCAGGGAGGCCCCCCCAAATGAAAAATTTTAAAGTAACACTGCAGAGAAAAAAATGACAGGAGAATCATCCTTGAAAAGAACAGACAGACCTTTTGGCATACTTGTAAATTCTGAAAGGAAAAAAGTGGTGGACCTACAATTCTATATCCAGTGGAAGTATCTTTTAATAGTGAAAGCAAAATA